TTTTATTATATTTAATTAAACTCTTATATTTTTATTTTAAACTAAATAAATCTTAACGACTAATTATTAATATGTAATATTAGTTAAAATACCATTTGATATTTTTATGTTGATTGACATTGACATATCATGTTAATATATGTCATATGAGATGATGATGTAAAATATCAATATAATATAATAGCATGATTATATGACATGTTTCACTATTTAAGTCAATATTATATAAATATACAGTAATTAATAATATTTTAATTAATATTAATTATTAATTATAAGAGTCTATTTAACTTAAAATAAAAATATTTGATTGAATTAAATTTTTTTAAATAGTTAAAGGGTTTTTATAAATATTAAGCTTTTTTCATTTTAGATATTATTCGAGTCTCTCTCTCTTCATGTACACTATTAGAATTTGAATTTCAATATTAGAGGTTTCAAGTTTGAATATAAAATAAGAGAGATGATATTCATAGATTATGTTATATAGATTTTTAACTTTACCCTTCTATACTAGTGTATTTTTAAATTAATAAAATAATTTATATTTAATATATTTTTATTTTATAAATTTTATACATTGTTAATTAAAGATGTATGAGTTATTAAAAATAAATATTCATAAATTTTTAAAATGATATAATAAAAAAATAATTAGATATGTATTTTAACTTTCTCTCATAAACTTACCCTTTTTTCTTCTTGAATCCGATCATCTTTTATTTTCTTACAACTTTACTAGGAACTAATGTCAAAAAAATAAAATAAAATCAATTTTTTTAAGCATAATGCTCAAATAAGGTCCTAAGCTATTTTTAAAAAATTAAATAAATTTTTACTTTTTTATTAAATCAAATCAAGTACTTGTACTTCTATTTTAGGTCAAATAAACTTTCATAATTGATTATTGACTAATTATTATTAAGTAAAATACTATTTATCATTTTATATCAATATGACATTGCTATGATGTTAATATCAAAAGTACAAAATATCATATGGTTATGTTATTATGTTAATTAGTATGTTATATCATCATCAATTATAATATCTTAATGTATGTCATTATCATCAATTATAATATATTAATATACCACGTTTGAATCACGCAATATAAAATAACAAATGAAATTTTAATTAAGTCAATAATTAGTTATAAAGGTTTATTTAACTCAAAATAAAAATATAATGGTTTATTTGACAAATGACATATTATTAATTATGATATGTCACATTATCATCAATTATAATATATTAGTATATCATGTCAATACTAGATAGTAAAAAATGACAAATGATATTTTGACTAAATTAATAATTAATTATACGAGTTTATTTAATACAAAATAAAAATATACGAGTTTGATTAAACCTAAAAATATAAAAAAAATTTTAAATTTTTTTAAATAATTAAGAGATTTTTGTAGATATTATATATTTTTTATTAATTTATGAATTTTTGTCAACTAATTTTAAATTAATTATTCCTTTTAAAATTCAAGAGATGTTAGTGCCTACAAGGGAGGAATATGGGAACAACAATGTGACTTACTTTATTAATATGTCAACAGTTTGATGAATACCTTGTGATATTACTTGTCTAGAAATTTAATTTAAGCTATTAATTTTATAAAATTTGAAAAGAAAAACTTGTTGTTTATTAAAATTTGGTTCAAAAAGATTTGAACATTAAAATGAGACGAAAATAATAGTTCTAGAGTTTCTTAAGTAATAATCAACAGAGTTTAATGATAAATGTTATTATTAATATATAAAAATCTAAATTTTTTGATGAAGTGTATACAAAATTAAATTAAAAATTTTAGTTAATAATTATAGATAGTAATTACAATACTTACTTAAATAAAATATTAAAGTTTTTTAAATTACTTATAATTTTTTATATATAATTGATCTATATAAACCAAATTTATAATTTCGTTAATTTGGATTGTGAATTCTTATTAATTATTTAAATAAAAAATTTAACTATTTTTTCTCTAAAATTTACCAATTAAAAATAGAAAAAGAAAAGAAAAGAAAAGAGTTAATTAGATAAAGCCCGAAAAAGAGTGGCGCCAAACACCCAAGATGAAAGGCAGTTGGTAGTTGGGCTCTCTATCCCATTCCTCCGAACCTAAGCTTTCTTCTTCAATGGGGTGCGACGCTTGTTCTTGGCTCCGCCCCCGAGTTCCCATCACCCTGGCCACCCCGACTCTTGGCCAGCCGCTGCCTAAACCCATCTTCTCCTCCTCCTCCTTTCCCTCTTCCTTCAAGCGCGCCACTGCCATTTCTTGTTCCATGGCTGGCCCTACAAATTCTTCTTCTTCGTCGTCGTCAACTAGGTCCTACAGCCGTCGATGGTACAATCCAATCCGTCGACAACCACCGTCGTCATATGATACTTCCTCCGAGATCCTTCGCCATTGGGTCGAAGTTCAACAACCTCTAGCTTCCCAAGGTAAACAATTCATCATTTCAGGTGAACCTTACAAAATCATCATAGCAACTTCAAACGCAACAATTTAATATTTTTTCACGGAATTTCTCTCAGGTTCAAATGACTTTAGTTCCCCTCGATCATTCAAGATGATTGATTAATTAGTCAATAATTTGAGGAGAAATTTTTGTATTTGTTGTAAATGAACGCATGATTTGGGTCTAGTTAGCTTAAATGCTTGATCTGTTTTTACCAGATAGATTTACTGTGGCATCATATAACATATTGGGCGAAAGAAATGCTTCAAAACACAAAGATTTGTACATAAATGTCCCTTCAGATTACTTAAGATGGGCCTATCGGAAGAGGGTCTTATGTGAAGAATTAATGGGATGGAACCCAGATATAATCTGTATGCAAGTAAGCTTGTTTTTCCTTTTATTGAGTATTTCTTCTATTTTAATGTAACTTTGGACTTAAAGGGTGCTAGTGTAATTGCTTCAGGAGGTCGACAAGTATTTTGATCTAAGGAACACCATGGAGAAAGCAGGATATGTTGGTTCTTATAAGGTTAATCTTCAGTTCCAGGCTTATTTTGTCTATGCATTTCATAATATGCTACATATCAAGAAAACTAAGAAATATGAAACGAAATTGTAATTGCAGCGGCGCACTGGAGGAAATGTTGATGGGTGTGCTACATTCTGGAAACCTGACAAGTGAGGAAGCCGTAGTATCTTTGATTTACTGTTTCTGAAAAGTTGACTTCTGGGTTTCGTATTTAAGGTGTCTTACTTTCCTTTGATCAGGTTCCGATTGTTGGAGAGAGAAGGCATCGAATTTAAGGGATTTGGTCTTCGTGATAATGTTGCTCAACTTTCTGTTTTTGAGGTACCAATGAATCACAATATCTACTGATGTCTTTCTGAAACATTGTACTAAGTGTTCTTGCAATGTTAATCTCTCGATTTGAAAGCTTTCGTTTCAATTCCTACAATCTCATAGATGTTTCAACCAAATTTGATCCAGTTCTCAAGGAAGATGCCGACGAAGATATTTTGAAAACTTCCTCAAAACATTTGCACAAATCTTGATCCTTCTGCCAGCAAAGATATTCTGAATTAAGCATTTAAATTTCAAGTTAATTCTACAATGATCAAAACTCATTGAGCATTTTTGTTCTCCTTCAAGTTCATTTCTTGTTTTGAGCAGAGGGTCACTGTATGATTAATAAATCACCATTGGATAAACGTACTCCTTTCCTAGTTTGCTTCAGCTTGTTTGACTTACACAGACTTGAAGAAAATTATCTTAAAAGCATTTGATTCTCAAAGTTCTACTGCTGTACCCTTAATGAATATCGTTATTCTTTAGTCTTTTAGATTTTAGCTGTAATTTGTATGACAAGGGGATATAATGAGCAATTAACAATAAATGTTTATTTGTTGAGGTATACATATCACACCATTAAAAATTATTGAAGATTTTGCCTTCATCACAAAGATTCTGCTTGAACTTTATACCCTAAGGGTGCTGTTGCTTGGATATTACTAATTTGGCTAACTCAGTATTCAGCTGAAAATGTAGCCTGTTATTTCTATTTCTACAAATAATATGCATCTGATTGAAGTTAGCTACCCTTCCTCTTTTTTGACATGTTCATTATGCATTATGCTGTTTCTTAGAAGACTTGTCCATTCGATATGTGACTCCACTACATACAGGCAGATATGCAGAGTTGAATCAAGAAGACTAGTGGTTGGTAACATTCATGTCCTTTATAACCCAAGCCGAGGGGAGGTGAAGTTAGGTCAAGTAAGTCGCTTCACAATTTACATTATTTATATGAAATAAATATATTACTAACCATCTTTTCAACCACAATCAAGTATAGTAATTCAAATATTCATCTTGGAGTGTACTCTTGTAATATCGTAAGAAGCATGCCATTTGCAAATAATACACAGCAAGACAAGAAAAATCTAAAATTATACATACATACATACATATATGTAATGTATACATACAAAACAAAATAAACATGCTTATTCAAGAAGCTTGCATTTTTAGTGCATTGTTTTTCCTTCATAGATAGGGCCTGCTTTGTCTTCGGTTCTTTGCTTTTTTTTTTTTTTGACATACCTCTTTACAATATAGTCTATTCCAAATTTATTCCCTCTTGTTTGGAGATTTCTAGGTATATAACATTTTTTCATTAATTTGTAGTTTAATCTTGTATATGCCTAGCATAGAAAGCTTGATTCCCCTGCTTCATTTAACTTATTTAATTAATTGTTTCCTTCAGGTTTTTTGGGTATGTGTTGGGGGGTGGGAGTAGGAACTGGGCAGAAGGGAACTTTGACTGTAGTTTACTGATATTTTTCCTTTTTTTTGTTTACAGCATTGTTTTCTCTAAGTTAAAATTCTAATGGCTTCAGTTTTCTTTGGTAATGTGCTCTTGTTTTTAACTTGATCATCTGGTTTTCTAGATTCGTTTTCTCTCCACAAGGGCACAGATGCTCTCCAATAGATGGGGAAATGTCCCGGTTGTGCTTGGGGGTGATTTTAATAGCACTCCTCAGGTGTGGCATCTAAACTTTATTTCGTTTACATAAAGTATTTATATCATTGTCCAAATATTCTTCTCGGTAAATGCCCATTATTTCAATGTTATGGGCAGAGTGCAATATACAAGTTCTTGTCAACATCAGAGGTAAGATTCTGTTGAACTTTTCATCTATGAATAGTATTCTTCCAGTTCCATGGAATCCCTTCTTCACAGCACGACAGTGATGAATTTAATCATATATTAAACAAATGATATGTTCTTTCTTTTTGCAGCTGGATATCAAGTTGTATAACAGAAAAGAGTTGTCTGGTCAGAGAAGTTGCCATCCCTCTCAAGTTTTGGGCCTTAATAGGGAATCAAGAAGTCCGTTTACTATCATGGATGGGTACTTTCCCCTTTCTACACTCTTACCTTTTTCTTTCAAATTGTGTATGTTGGTGCATGTGTACTTGAGGGAGATGATATCAGGCACATATTATGTTCCCATCTAATTCTTCTCTCATACTCCCATCACCTAGTTGTGGTGTAAGAAAATTTTTTATTGTAAACTTCAACTATATATATACATTTTACATCTCTTAAAGAAAAATTGGACTAAACCCAACAGTTTCTTGTCAGAAGATGGAGTCTCATTGCTTAGAGTTCTCTGATGATCATATCTCTAAAATAAATTTACTTTCACTAATGAGGTGTTCATTGTTCTTCTATATACCTGATGTGTATAAAAGGACAAAAAAATAATAAATTTATTAACCAACTAAGGAAAATTTTATAAGATTGTCATCTTATGTTTAATTAGTTTCATGTTCATCAGATTCTGGTATTCCTGCACTTAATTATTAGAATCTTTTTCTCTCCCCTTTAGATATGGGTTCTATGCCATTGCAATTTTGTGTTACTATCCTGTGATAGGTTAAATATCTAGTTATTATTATGCCATTGTATGAGCTCATGACCAATTAAGGCCTGTAGTATGTTGCTATCATTCACACAAACACATCTCCATGTTCAGGTGTTTTTCTTAGAATTCTTCTTCTCAAACATATTTCTTATTCTAATTGTCATTTAATAGAATTCAGTACCTTTCATTTCAGATTTTTTAATGATTGCTGGACAGATAAGGAGGTTAGAGTTGCAACTGGAAGTGCCGACAGCCATTTAGTTGAGCATCCATTGAAGCTTAGTAGCTCCTATGCTACAGTAAAGGTATACATGCATGCCTTTTGATATGTATATATATGGACACATAATTAGACCTATCCGTATCTGCATCTTTCTGCTCTGGTTATTTGGGAATTTGTGACAGTTGTTGTATCATTTTCTCAGGGTTCTACAAATACAAGAGACCTCAATGGTGAACCTTTAGCCACTTCCTACCACTCTAAGTTTCTTGGAACCGTTGACTATTTATGGTATGAGGCTTTCTGAAAATCTGTACTTGCAATCATACTGGGGCCTTGGATTGTAAAGATAAAGACAGAAACTTAAGATTTCTTGACTTGGTACAGGTACTCAGAGGGTATTCTACCTACTAGAGTTCTGGATACTCTTCCAATTGACATTCTTAGAAGGACTGGTGGCCTTCCATGCAAGGTAAGAACAATAATCAAATCTTCATCCAAGACTCCCCAAACCTCACAATGCGGAAGTCTCTTATGCTGGACAGCCCTTTTCTTAACAGTTTTTGCTTTTAAAGTGTTTACTGCTATATATTTAACTGTAGCTTTGTTGTCTTTGGAGATATGTTGATTAATACCCTCTCACGAGACATTTTCTAGACCATTACATTTATGTTAAAAAAAAAAGCAACTTCTATTAAAATCTTATAAAAAGGGGAATTTTAATGATTTGAACTCAGAGCTTCATATTCTGAATTCCTATTTTGTCTTACTAGATATTGCAAATGTCTTGGTCCAGTAGAATAGTTTCTTTTATCTGATAAAGTGTCATTATTTATGCATAACATTCTTTGTATTAGTTTCCTGTCTGACCCTGGTTTCTATCATCGTACAGAAACTAGGAAGTGATCATTTGGCCTTGGTTACTGAGTTTGCCTTCTCTAAAAGTGCCAAAGATACTATCCTGACTATGTCTGCAGTCTCTGATGGAGCCATCTCAGCATAGAGGGAAGATGTTGCTGTTCCAACATGACATATCTGCAATCTGGTATGATGGCTTTGAGTGGTAGACTTTAAATACATCTGTTAAGAAATGTTGCACATGAAGCTTCCTTTTGAAATGCATAAGAAAAGCCGATTTCCTGCTTGAAACTAGTAGATCATAACAGTAGTTTCTGTAGCCTAGCAAGTCCAAGAAAGAGGGTGACAAATTTTTTGGATTGTACCCATCCCCAGGTTCACGTGCTCTCCTTTTCTCCTCACATTTTGTCTTTACAGAACAACTGGATAATAATGTAAAGTTCATTTTTCTGGGTCAGGATTGATGATATGGTGTTTGCCTGGTATCACTTTTTTGTATGTTTTTGCTTATGGAAAAACTTGGCGTTTTAAGCTTATTTGAGATTCCCATATACCACTGGAGAAGCTTCTGCATCGATCTCAATAGTTACATCAAACTTTTGCTTCTGATATTTCATGTGTGAATGTTAAGGTGCTAGGCCCTACTTTGACAACCATTCCAACAGAAAGCCCCTCATCTACCTGATAAACTTATTCATCATCTTCCAAATAGGTGACAACCCTGTTAAAGTTCCTTGTCCTTGGATATGCACCTCCTTTACTGAAGATGGCAACAAAAGATGGGTAGTCTAGGTTAGTTTTCTCTTGGCTACAATTCTATTGGCATTGTCTTAGAACAGTTCTCATCTGTGTATAATCGTAGCCAAGACCACAAAGGAAGTCAATATAGTCTTGTAAATTCAAGTCATTTACGAGTCCAGAGTCTGCAGCCTTATTTGGATTACCGTGACCTGAGACCCACGATGTAGAGGTGTAGCACCAAGTCTGGTAGATGGAATCCGTGATATTAGTTCCATTATTGTCAATTCTATATGCTGTGGTCACCTTTGTCATCAAAGCAGATCGAATGGCTGCTGGACTGATCCACTCGGGATGGACAGCTTTCAGCAATCCTGCCACTCCAGCAGCATGAGGTGCTGCCATTGACGTGCCCAAGTAGAGTGCATAATCTGTTGACAAACTTATAGTTTCCTATTTCAATATATAAATGGCATTGGTGGAACTGCAGCCAGTACATCAAACCCTGTGGCAAGAACATCTGGTTTCAGAACAGCAAGGTTGATAGGGTCTGGTGTGATAAAAAAGCCACTTGTGGTGCTAACTTGGTGTTCAAGAATCTCAGTTTTCACTTCTGCTTTACTTACTGTTGCGTACTCTCTTACCGGAGCTCCTGAAGAAGGTAATTGAACCAAGCTGGGAACAGAGTTCTCAGCTGGTTCTGAAAACGATGAATTTGCCATGAGTATACAAGCAAAAGCTACCTATCCTGTCAAGTTCAGCCATTTGTTCATATGGTTCAATCACACTGGTGTTGTCAAAGATGACTACCTTCGCTGCAATCTCCGTCTCTCTTCAATGTTTCTAACTTACATTATTCTTTTGTTTTCACCCATCTGTGCTGTAGTACAAAGGTGCATCTGTAATGAAAACGCTGGTAGGAAATACTGATACTCCCTCAAAGGTTTGCCCATTTCCTCGAGTCAATGTTGCACTCAAACCGCGATCAAGCGTGCCAGCCCCTACTGTTGTGATCCATGGTGTTGCTCCGAGGTGTGTCGAATTGCTCAAGCCATCATTCCCAGCAGAAACAGACCACAAACACCCCTCGTTTAATCGCTGAAAGAGCAGCAATGGCTATGTCATCATTGAAAGAATAATATTAATGCCATCTGCACCCGCTTGGTCTATTCCACCAAGCACATCACTATCTATTACCCGAATTACTAGCCAGCCTGCCTGACAAGATTCTGATCTACAAACCTAAACCCATTCGAAATGATATTTAATTAATTATGTATTTTCTTTTTAACCTTAATAAATTAATTTATTTTGATATACTAATTTATTTCCTTTAATTATTTCTCCAATTCATTTTTATAAATAAAATGTTTTTTAATATTAAAAATTTTTCTTAAAATTTTCAACTTTTTTGGTAAAATTTAAAAACTTTTTCCTTTAATTATTTTATATTAAATATTTATTATAAAATTATATTTATAAAATTTAAAATATTTATTTATTTATGTTTTTATCAATTATTTATAAATAAACCTTTTTAATAAAAATATATGAGATTACCTCCAACCCTTATAGTGAGGTCCATAATTATTTTTACCCTAGAAATTTTAACAAAAATTACCCTTTACCACTTTTTTTTAAAATTTCATTTAAAATATTTATTTTTAAATAATTATAAATATTTATTATTTTTATTTTTAAATGAGTCACGGTCAATCTTGTTTAAATGCGATTAATCATTTAATTAAATTTATTTTTTAAATAAAATTTTAAACTTTATTTAAGTTTATTAAAAAATAAGTTTCAGTCTGTAAAACTAATTAAGTTCGATGATTTACGAAACTAATTAAATTCGAAAGCACAATTACATGCGAGAAAAGAATTAAATAAATTTATAAATTATGAATTTATATTTTTAATTTAAAAAATATATTTAATAAATAATAAAAAGTTTATATTTATATATTTAAATTTTTTTTTAATGACGAGAGATTCGTTAAACTTGCACGTAACAATCATGATGAAAATTTTTATTTGTTGTTTTTTTTTTTTTTTGTTTTGTAATTTTATGTACATTAGTCGACGGAGTTGACGTGTACACTGTTTTATGGTAAACACATTTTGTGGCTCTTCCACGTCGAGACACCGCATTTTTTTCGTGTCTCAAGGCAAGCCATCCTAAAACAGGCCCTGCCACGGTTATCCTCGTGCAGCACCAAAAGTAATTAGTGGGACCAAACAATATCCAATAAAAATCCCCTATCCCATATCCGCCTGTCCACCTTAACTTCTTCAACGGTCCTGATTCACTTCACCCACATGGTTTGCATTACACACGCATGCACCGACCTCGTAACAGAAACACGGTTTTATGAAAATTATTATAGAATTTTCTTCTTACTTAATTATAATACAAAATCATAATTAATGTTATAAAAATATTAAATAAATTATAATTTGCTTATTAATTTAAATAATTTTTTTATTTTAAATTAAATAAATTTATAATTAATTATTATTTAATAAAAACGTGACATGATTATGAATTATTTTTGCTTTTATATGCATATTACATCTCATAAAAAAAATAAGGGATCAATTAATGTCAATTAATAAAAAATTATTTAATTTAAAATAAAGATATATAAAAATTTAATTAAAGTAATAAAAAAGAATTTTTTAAAAAATTTTAAGTGTCAATATTTTAGTAATTTTTTAAAGTGTAATTTTATAATCATAATTAAATCGTGTCAAATTGTTCCTAATCATTCTCGCGACACTGAGTTGCTGTGATCACACCTTACCAAACCTGCGACGCTAATTCCATGACCCAATCATATTTCTCCACGTGGAATCTTCCCCCCAACAATTTAAAAAATGGGAAAACAACTGAAAAAAAAAAAAACATGGCGTAATTGATATATCCGACTTCCTTCGTACGGCAAGAATCGCCGTTGCAAAACCACTCCCCTATTTGTCGGATTCCTTTCTCCCTTTTAGATTTCCGTCAATCTCTCTCCGTTTCGCCGCCGTTTCAGAATTCTTCGCATTCTATTTCGATTTTTTTGTGGCTTTTTTTCTTCGTCGTTGCGGGAATCGAGAGATCGAAATTTACGTAAATTCGGAAAAACAAAAAATCGATGCAGCGACTCGTTGACAACGCCCTCGCTGTTACCAAAGAGTGAGTCATCTCTCTCTCTCTCTTTCTTTCTACGTATATTTATACTTATTCGTATATGCATGTGTCGGATTGGTTTCCTGCATCAGCTTGTTGTTTTTACGATCATTTCTCTTTGCCCATGGATTTTGGGATTTTGAGGAGGTTCGGGGAATTTTTGAGGGATTGTTCTTAAGATTTTATTGGCTTTGTTTTTGGGAAAAGTTAGTGGGAGCTTTTTATTAGCTGAATCAAGTTAAAAAAGAAAAGGGAAGAAATAATTTAATTAGAATTTTTTTTGGTATTATTTATATGAGAATTTTATCAAATTGAACCATTCAAGATTTTCCCTTCTTGGGTTTTTCCGTGGTGAATTTTTACAAGGAAAAAATTTAAAAAAATTACTTTTTTTGGCCTGGTTGCCGCTGATTACCATATCGTGAAATGATTTATTTTTGTTTTAGAAGACAAAAAGAATTTGCTGAAATTGTTTAATTTCTTTATTTGTTTTAGTAGACAAAGAACAAGAACTCAGTTTAGAAGTCTGAATGATTGACCATAGTAGAGATTTCTTACTATTAAGAGTATTTCATATTTTGTTAAGGAATTAGGAAAAGTTTGTTGAAAAATAGAGCTTTTTTGACATTAATCAATGGTGGAAAGTTAGCAGTCATATTTATTTATATGATCATTGCATTTGAGGCTTCCTTTTTGCAGCTTGGTATCACTTAACATTTTGAACTGTATTTGGAGCAATTCTGTTCTGTTCTTCCCAATTTCAAATTGATTATTGTGTCTAAATATAATTAAATGACTTCAGCTTTCGTTTGAGTGTTATTGCATGCATTGTACAGCTGCCTTTGAAAGTTGTGGTAATTTATCTGCTTTGCTTGTGCTGAATTCTTCATTCCCTTACACTGCACTATGATATTTTCCCCCCTTTAGTAAGAGCTAATAAGCTGTAATTAGTTTCCTAAGTTTTGTCATTAGCTTACCAAACAAATAACCAATTTGCTTTTGCTTTTAGTGCAGGTCGGTGAAGACTTTCACGTATGAGTCTTTGAACAATATTGCAAGGCTGATAAATGGAGTGTCAGCACTTTTATTGACCTTTCTTCCGGGAAAGGCAAATATTCTTGAAGGTGTTCAGGGATGGGAGCTTAGGCCAACATTCCGTGGACCTCGCTTTCCTCGCTGGATGGGAAAGTATGTTTTTTAATTTAGATGTGAGGAAAAATAAGTCTTTAAGTATCATGGACTAGGATTTTGTTTTGTATTTTCCACTTGTATGCTTAAACAAATCTTTTGCAAGAGTGATTTGAATTATTAATGTTAACATTGAAGTTCATAGTTTGCTTCCTAGGTTTGACCTTGTCTTGCTTTCCCTCAATTACTGAGTGGACAACTAAAAGATTAAGCAGGAGAGATAAAACAGAGTTCTGATCATTTTTCTTGCCAAGATGTCCTGATGGAGAAGTTTAATGTGTGTTCTTGTATCATAGGTCGAATGTACTTCCATAGAGCCTCTTCTAATTGGCTTCTTAAATGCCAAATGGGACCTTTTCTGGATATTAATTTTTAATCATTTTTTAAGAATATGATTATATTAAATGTTCTTGCTTATCAAAATTGCCTGCAACACATTTGATTGTATTGGCTGGTCATGAAGACAGATTTGTTACATAACTATGGAAGCTAAGTAGGAAGTGGTGTCATCAGAAATTGCTTAGATTCCTTCTCTCTTGCTTGAGATGCTCATCTGAAGAACGATGGGAGAGGGAATTTTTGCCTTGCTTTCTTTCTTGAGTAGCCACTAAATATTTTTCATTCACGCTTTTTTGTCTTTCTATGTAATTTGTTGTTACTTTACAGTCCTATGTTCTCTTATGGTCTAAATCTGGAATTGGTCCTTGCTTTTCTCAGTCCCACCTGAGGCCATACCAAAAAAAAAAAAAAAACAAAGAAGATGGATTTTCTTGAAATTATCATAAGCAATTATCATACTTTAACAGCTTCTTTACTGTATTAAGTACTTGTAATACAATTAATTGTTGACATTTCCACTTGTCTTGTTGACTATAGTGGTGTTTCCTCATTCAACCAGTTCATCCATGAGCTTTCTGTGGATTCTGATACTTCAAGTATAGACTATTCTTCCGGAGAAGATGATCTTGATGGAATATACCCTGCATCACCATCATCTCATGGGTCAAGGATCTCCAGAACCAGCACTCGTATCAAGAATGATTGGCATTGGACAGACTGGATGGCATTCATATTTTCATGGATTTTATTACCTGCTAGGTTTCTGGTGGGGATACCACTTCTTCTTTTCCGTTTGTTAAATATATGGGGATCGAGGGCTTCTTCAGATCCAGGAAGCCCCCGTCCTAGGCATTTTCATTCCTTTAGGAAAGTGCACACCCACAAGGACCATGTTGTCCACCGCACCACTGACAGGAGACGTGGAGTCATTGAGGTTTCTACAAGGACTTTCATCTTACTGCTTCTTGAAGTTTTCTGTTTTCATTGCCTTATTATTTGCCATTATTTTTAATCCTTACTCAAAGTGATGCTATGTCAATCAGGATCTCCATCTAGCAATTGAGATTTTCATAGAAGCTATATTTGATATGTTTCACAAAGCTGCGCGCTGTGTTCTCTCCCCATTTGAAGCTTTCAGCATATTTGTAAAATGGTTGTCATCTCCCAGTGCTGGTGTTAAAGATTCTGAAGATGATGTTATTAATGCTTCTGTTCCCACAGCTACTCTTGGTGATAATGACCCAGCTCCTAGAGAAAGGAATCTTACTCTTCACCATTCTCTTAACACTGATGCTCGGACGTGTAAGGATGTCATAACAGAGCTTGGGTAAGTGCATTGCTATTCTCAATATTTTTTTACCCTCTTGACCCCTGAAATTCTGCATATCTTCGGTGGGTTTCTTACCCCCTCTTCCTGTCTTAGGTACCCATATGAAGCTATTCATGTTATCAGTGCTGATGGATATGTTCTTCTTTTGGAAAGAATACCAAGGTATAATTGTTAGTTTTCTTTTCAGATTATAACTTTTGCTTGAATGTTATGGTTCTTGATGCCTCTAGTATGATATTGCAGACGTGATGCACGGAAGGCTGTCTATCTACAACATGGTGTTTTGGATTCATCTATGGGGTGAGTAACAATCTGCAGTCTGCCTACGATGCTGCTGTGATTTCTTTTATGGTTGCTCACGTTGTTGGTTATGTATTACATTGAGCTGTATGCCTGACCTTTTGTAAGGCAATTTTTGTATGGGTTTTGATATTTCAGTTATCATATGCCTATAACTTGTATTATATTGATATTGATATTTTTCCAACAAGCAAACTTCCAAGAGTAGTTAATTAACAACTCTGAACTACAATGCTTAGTGTCGGTTAGCATAATTAGACTGCTTTAGTTTGTGCTTATGATACTAACATTATCTTTATTTTGAAAATCTGGTTTTTGCACATATTATTATATTTAAAATTGAATGAACATGTTTGTTTTGGTTGTTTAATTAAATGGCCAGCACTTTGTTTAACAATATCAAGCCTTAGCCCCTAGTAAATGTGATTGGCTATGTGAACTTTTGCTTCATTCTCCTCTATCAAGAATGATATGAGTAGAGGACAAATTATTAATTCTGAAGATTTTTGGATAAGCTTATAGTGTGGTAGGCATAGTGAGCTGAATGAGCATAAAATTACCTTTTCCTTAAGGAAGACAAAATGCCTCTCAATCATGCTAGTGAAAAACTTGCTTGAATCTGTAGGATAGTTGAAGCATGGTGAAGAGAATGATTATGATTCTCGTTGCAAAGTAAATTGCAAAATGACTTACAGGCTTATGGCCATTGCTCATGCCTTAAGTTTGAAAATGAAGAAGATGCTCCATGAATTATGACTTTTGCTTTTCACATGCGAAATTTAAAAGGATAATGCAAGCGTCAGTTAACAATAAGAAATATTATAGTATTTTGTTAGAGATTAATTTAAATGCTATTGTTTCTTACATTTACCTTTTGGTCTAATGGTTTCTTTTTAGATAAAGATGTCCATACTTAATAGTTATACTATTTATGCATTGAAGGTATCATTTCAGTCAGTGTACTGTGGATACCATCTAATAGATATTATCTATTGAGCTTTGGGGCATGTGATTTTGTCATCTTAGACTCAAATGAGATGAGGAAGAAGATCCATGTACCTGTCTTAACTATTTTTAAATTAAAATATAATAGATTTTGCGTTGGGGTTTGTCTGGAATTATCACATCTATCAAAGACTTAAATATATGCATGTGACGCCTATGAACATGGATCCCTCTCCTTATGTTGTGTTAAGCACTCTTCTTGTTCTTCTTCTTCTTCTTGTATTATAGAAACCGTATTATTTATTATCCCAACTAATTGCCATATATTCCTTTTTCCCTTTTACTAAAACAGTTGACCTTGTTGTGTTCTTATGAGTTGATTCCTTTGTGCAGTTGGGTTTCTAATGGCATTGTTGGTTCTCCAGCTTTTGCAGCCTTTGATCAAGGTTTATCTTATACTTTAGAGTATTTACATCATTCATGGCACATAGTAATGATGTTATTGCTTTAATTGCAGGCTATGATGTTTTCCTGGGGAACTTTCGTGGTTTAGTCTCTAGAGAGCATGTGGACAAAAATATCTCCTCACGACAGTAAGTAAATTTATGATTTCTCTGTCAATATCGGATTCATTGTTTCTCAAACACTGAATTTGGAAATTGAAGAATGAAATATTTCAACATGATTTCTCCTCTTTTCTGCGTTTAATGTGGTCACTAGCTAGGAGCAGATGTATCCTTTTAACAATTTTTTATCTATCTTTTACTGGTCACACTTGCCGACCACAAAAATTTGGAAATCCTTTTCAAGAGACTAGAATCACTCCATCTTGTTGGTTTTCAAAATCTTTCTACTTTGAAACACCACCCTTTCCCCTTCTTCAAGGAAAAAAAAAACTTAAAAGCACCATTTTGATTCAGATATTGGCGATACACCATAAATGAGCATGGGACAGAGGATATTCCGGCTATAATAGAGAAGATTCATGAAGTCAAAACTGCTGAACTGAAAATTAGCCAACCTGATGAAGAAACAAAGGATGAGCAGCCTTACAAACTTTGTGCAATCTCTCATAGCTTGGGGGGAGCTGGTATGCTGATGTATGTTATAACACGCCGGATTGAAGAGAAGCCTCACAGGCTCTCAAGATTAGTTTTACTTTCACCTGCAGGCTTCCATGATGATTCTGCTTTTGTCTTTACAATGATGGAGTATCTATTGCTTCTTTTGGCTCCTATTCTGCCACTACTTGTGCCTGCCTTTTATATACCAACCAGATTCTTTCGTATGCTGTTGAACAAGTTGGCTAGGGACTTTCATAACTACCCTGCTGTTGGAGGACTGGTTCAAACCCTAATGAGTTATTTCCTCGGAGGAGATAGCTCAAATTGGGTTGGGGTGTTGGGGTTACCTCATTATAACATGAATGACATGCCGGGGGTCTCATTTCATGTGGCGCACCACCTTGCACAGCTAAAACATACAGGAAAATTTAGAATGTATGATTATGGGAGTGCACCAGCCAATATGGAGGTGTATGGATCTCCAGAGCCGTTAAACTTGGGTGAGTATTACGGGCTTATTGATATTCCCGTTGATTTGGTGGCTGGTCGGAAGGACCAGGTAATCCGACCGTCAATGGTTAGAAAGCACTACAAGCTGATGAAGGGTTCTGGTGTAGATGTATCATACAGTGAATTTGAGTATGCACACTTAGACTTCACATTTTCCCACCGTGAAGAACTCTTAGCATATGTGATGTCACGTCTGCTGCTTGTGGAGCCTGCTCCAAAGCGCCAGTCTGGTCAGAAGGCTTTGAGGTTGAAAAAGAAAGGACCGGTGAACTCTTAATTGCTGATGGGTACGAAACCATGCACTTCCATGTTTTTTTCTTTTGGATTTGGCATGTGCTGCTGTATTGATAGATGCATGCTTGTTGTTGTATGTGAGTGAATAGATCAGTAATATTGTTTACATCATTGTAATTAATGATAGACCCATTGTATACATGTCATAGTAAGCTTCCATCACAAATTTTCTGAGGCAGGTCTATGGAAAATGAACTCAGAAAAAGTGGTGCTTAGTAGGAATCTATACGTACGACAAATTATGTTTGTTTGTAACATTTTACAGTAGATGATATCTTCAGGAAAAAGAATTTCCACAATCTTATCCTACTTTTTCAGTTTTCTAGTCCTGTCAATTGTTCGATAATTTCCGGAATGCTATAGCAACTGGTTCTCTGCCATGCAATAGAGAAAGGTCTTGTATAAAATCCCTGCCTTGGCTCAAATGGTAACTGGCTCTTGATTTCAACAAAGGATGAAGATGACTTGAAGGTATCCCATTTCTTGATATGGAATGCTTTTATCTATGAGATATATTGGTCACACAACATTTTATATTGTCTCCCTACATTTTAGTGAACCTGATCCTTGTTAGCTGAAATCATAAATGTCCACTTTCTCAACCATGTATCCTATGTCAACTTTTTTGCCTCTTTCCTCCTCTTTTTTTTTTTTTAAAAAGAAGCACCTCCTTAGCTATGGATAATTTTAATTCAAGTTAAAATGCACTTACTTGACTTCTTTTGATACGTAGATTTATTAATTTTTAAAATAAGTATTTCGTTTTAAAAGAATATTATCATTGAACATATAAATTTTATTATTAGTTAATCGTTAATATTTTTGTTAATTTGATAGCGTGAAAATATTTTTAAGATAATTTTATTTTTTATTTATTTTAAAAATAATCATTATATAAATTATAATTTTTATATTAAATTCTTTCTCTTTTTCAAAAAAAATCTTTCTATTGGCCACTAGCATCGGCTAGTGCTTCTCACGAGAACTTGGAAAAGCATTTTAGATATTTTACATTTAGATATTAATACTGTTTATATATTTGGGATGAAATGTTTATTTTAAAAATTAATATATTGATATGTAACTTGAAAATTAATATATTGAGATGTAATTATGATAAAAAATTAAGAGAATTAGTGTATTTAACCTTTTAATATATGTGGTATATCTTAAGATGTATGTCACATGAACAGAAAATATTAATTTATATTCGATTTTGATAATTTATTACGATTTAAAGATTTGTGTAGCAAAATTAAAAGAATAAAAACTTTTTGGATACAAATTAAAAGATGAGAAATTTTGTGAATACAAAATTAATTGTATTATAGGGACTTACCTGCATAAATTTGCATAGTTTAAGAACTTTTTTGTTATTTAAGCCAAAAAGTTCTGAATTGGTACGATGGTTTTATGAGCTGAAGCGGGCGCGTAAAGCTAAAATCCACCAAAACGGTGTCGTTTCGCGCACCGGACAAAATCCAAAACCTTTTAAAACGAACAGGGGGCTGCCGCTGTTGCATCCTGTTCCTCCATCGTAAAAACTGGAAAATAGAGAACAGTGAGAGGAAAATGGCGATGAATTCGGTGAAATGGGGATATGTCCGTATCATCACCGGCACCATTCTCGGCGGCGTCCTCGGCTTCTACGTCATGCACCGCGTCGAAGTCGGCTACAAGGTCTATTTCTTTCTCGTTTGTTATTTTGTTTATTTATTTGATTATAAAGGTAGTAAACTTTTGATTTTTTTTTTGTACTTAAATTTCATTTTGAACAGGAAAAAATGAAGGAGAGATTGAGGCAATATGAAAGTGAATTGAAGAAGAAAGAGAAGTTAAATGAGCTTGAAGATTCCATCTAGCTCTTTTTACAGTTGAGCAAAACCTACTTCTTACTATCTATTTTTTCCTTTTTTATTTTTGAATAAAAGTATATTTTTAGAACCTAACCAGGAGATATTTGGAATCATGATCTTTGATTGATGGTAAAGTGACTGATTTTTTTTTTAATTTAGTGTTGAATTAAATTGAAAATGGATTCTAATGGGATAAAATGATGCAACATTCCCACCATTTGTCAGCTTTTTCATGGTTTCTTTTTTGTGTAATAATTTATTGGACTTTTTTTTTTTAAATTGTTTATCAAATTTGTTGATTTTATGATAATTATTAAGTTGAGCTGAGATGAAAGAGCCAAAATGTTATATTTAAGTTCTAGTAATAATAGTGTTCACAGTGCAAGCTTCATAATTGATTTCACAGAGCAAAAAAATTAATTAGGTAAGGATGATTAGGGATTAAAGTGTCCTGCTAAATCACGGGTGGTAGAAGATTTTGTTAGTTGTGAGAATGTAATTGATAAGGAACAAAGTATAAAAATTAGATTAAGATTTGTTAAGGATAATTAGGGTTTAAGAAATTTTCTCCATGAAACGGATTTTTTTTTGTGATGCCCGTAAAAATTTTCTCTACCCTTTTTGAGCATGCCAAATTGGTGGAAAAAGGTGAGAGAATTTGGTCGTTATTCTGCTTGAACAGGACCGAAGAGGGAACATAAAGGATAAAAAGGAAACTGCATTTAGATTTCAGGGGAACGGCGAAGGATGAACATTTTTGTTGTCACAAATTTGAAGTTCTTACTTTTTGTATGGTGAAGCAACAGGGCAGGAGTAATGCATAGAATTGGGTTAAGGCATTGGACATGAGCTGTTCTGGCGATAAGCAAACAAGAATTAGGCATGATTTTGCTGTTTACCCTTTTCCTTGGTCTGGCTTTTTTTGAAACATATTCCCATATTACGATGCAAAATCATGCTGGAAAGCTTCGCTAATATATAACACTGTGTGGGAAAGGAAATGATAGAAGATTCATCAACATTCTTGACCGATAGTTTTGGCATCTGCATTCTTTTTAGCTTAGTTAAAACTTTCAGTCCTATTTATTTTTTTCTTTAAGCTATGCTAATTTTATTCTAGGAGGCATTTAGGACCATACCTGCTTTGACATGCTTTTACCTTGTGAATCGGACAGCTGCCAATTTTGCTTGCATATCTATGTGTTCCAAATTGATTAAAAAAGTGGTTGAACAATTGATTTATGTTGTAGAGCTAGTTACTTGTGTTGTGTTGTTCTTTTCCTTGTGTTCTTCAATAGGCAGTTAGATTCATTAACTTTCTTGTCAATGTGGCTTGTTTGCAGGGACATGTCCATTGGTGGTCAATCCAAACAAAACTAATTTGTCGGAATGTTCTATCAATCTACCGTGCAAATTTTAACATGACGACGAAAACTAGTATGCCACTTTGATTTATTAAAGATGGTGGGATTGCGGAACTGAAAGTTTTGTTACATAAATGCTATGAAGTAGGCTTTTTTTTTTTCCGAATCAGAAAAGATGGGGTTTTAGGGTTTAACGTTTAGAGTTTAGGGTTATCTCAGTTGGTCATTTTGAATTTGAATACCTCTGCCAATCCCCTGCTGCTTGTGTCTTACTTCAATGATCATGCTCAACTGGATGTGGTTTGACATCTCAGTTGATCCTTGTGGTTTGATCTATTATCGGTATATGGATTTTATACATCTTGTAATCTTGTTAAAAATATTTATTTTTAAAAACTTTTATATATTTACGAAATGATACTCTCTCATTAAATGATAATTATATAGATATTATATATTTATCGATGTATTAATAAAAACCTGATCAATAAATTATTTATAACATAATATTTAAAAAGCTCTTGAATTATTTTTAAAAATTTAAATAAAATTTTATTTTATTATCATTTTTAAATAATTTTTTATATTTTAATTCAATAATTAATGATTGATTAATAGTGGATAGAAAAAAAAATAATTTATCATTTTTATGTTATGTAGTGTTGTCATGGTATGATACATGTCACAATGAATGGTTAAGTATTATGCATATAAAATATGATCATATAATTATGTAATATTTTTTATTTTTAATGTTAGTGCTTTGTTATTGTCACGTTATATATCGATATGAAATAATAAATAAAGTTTCAAGTAAATATAATTAATTATTAATTATAAAATTTATTTGATTTAAAATAAAAATATATAAATATGATTAAATATAATAAAAAAATAAATATTTGTTTGAATTATAATAAATAATTTATAAAAGTATTATAATTTTTTAAATAGAAAAAACAAGAAAATTAAAAATTTTGGCCCTTCCGAAAACAGGCCCACTCGGCCTGTTCCCTCCACTTTTTTCTCTTTCTTCCCGCCAGGGCCGAAAGAATGATTACATTGCCATTTGCTCTTTCTCTAATCACTAAAAACCAAAAAAATATTGTAATTAAAACAAAAAGAATCAATTAAAAATAATTAAAAGAATCTCAAGAATCCACTAATCAACAGCAATTTGAGTTGCATTGCATAAGGATCAAAAGCGATCTCTAGTTTGGGTTGAAAAGTCTTAAGCAATGGCTGTATCTCCTTCTTCATCCAAGAAGAAGAAGAAGCAGAAGAGTAGCAACAGCAAAGCCAGAACCAAGACAGCTCGGACGACCGACTCATGGTCCTCAACGCACCCACAACACAGTTCAAAGCGTCGCCGCAACAAATCGCCTGGAGTTCGACTCGTCCATGGCCGAATCTATGATTCTGAGAATGGCAAGACTTGTCACCAGGTACTTCTTTGTTTTAGCTTCAATGGGTTCTCAATTTTCTTTTGGATTCGAAGTTTGTTGCTTTTCTTGGGAAAATTATGCGTATTCTTGTTTGACGTTTGTTGTTGAAAATGTTGGAGCAAAATGATGGCAGTGTAGACAAAAAACAATGGATTTTGCAGCATCATGCAAGAGGAAGATAGAAGTCAAGCAATGTACCATCCATTTTTGTCACAAATGCCTCTTGAACAGGTCTTTTCTTCACTTTCCCATTCTTTTTTTGTTTTTACATTTTTTAACATTCCAAGACTTGCTGGATTTTAGTCTACATAGCTGATGAAAACCCATTGTCAAGATTCAAACCCAAAACTTTGAAAACTAGAATTTAAGTTCTAACCACGGGGTGTTCCTTTTAAAGACTTTTCATTCTAATGTTTTCATTTTTTATTATCTTTTCCTTGTCTTTGAAATCTGATTAGCTGATTCGTTTTTTTTTTTCAAGTGACAATCAGATATGGAGAGAAGGCTGAGGAGGTGGCATTGTTAAATGATTGGACTTGTCCAAGATGTAGAGGAATTTGCAACTGTAGTTTCTGCATGTAAGTCTTTTGTTTCAGCAAATTGATGAATACGCCATTGAAAATATTTTTGTTGTTTCAGCTGTATCATTGTTTTGCTTCTTGATCAAAATGGGGAATACTGAATCATGTAGGAAGAAGCGAGGTCACCAGCCTACTGGCAATCTTGTACATGCGGCAAAGGCAAATGGGTTTGCCTCAGTGTCGGATATGTTGCATCTTAAGAACTCCGAAAGTTCAGGTTCAAAAGAGACTACTGATACTGCTGTCTCTTCCAAAAAGCAAAAAGTTGCAGATAAGGTTTGATTGGGATTTTTCATATCTTTTATCGCTTCAAAGGCCTGCCATTAAAATCCTTGGGTATGCTTAGAGGCTATTTGTTTTCAGAGGGAATGATCAATGATGAGGAATGTGAATTCTGTTGCAATCCTTGTTATATTTTTGCAAGATAAGACAGTTAAACTTATTCTGGTGGTTTATAATGTCTGGCTGGGTGGAAGGTCCTGTTTTGTTGAGCCTTAAATGATGATCATAAGATAGAAAGAGGTTCACCATTTTTGTTTACCTACATTTCCGTGACAACTCCATAGAAATGGGTTGCTTTACTGGTTACGAACTTTATAAACTGAATGTTTATTGAACTTTTCTAGCAGGAATCTGGAGTAAAAATAGCTTCCAAGAGCCGAAAGGGAAGCAGTTTTAAAGGGCCAAATGGTTCGACACAAGCCAATGATGAAAGGACTGCAACTAGAAATACCAGGTTGACAAGGTCAAGGAACAAGAATAGTAGTAAGGAAATTGCATCCGATGGCAATTATGGTGATTTCTCAACCCAAAAGATTAGTCCTAAAAAATATCAAATCTCTCGAGAGGCATCATACAAAGGAGAAGTGATTTGCAAAGGGAATGATGCTATCCAGCTACTTGACACGATGCTTCATAAAAAGTGTGACCATGGAGAAGATGAAGAGCTAAACAATGCAGATCCTGTAGCAAAGAACAAGCCAACTAGTAAGTCTCCAAATCGTAAGAAGAAAAATGTAAAAGTCAAAAGCAAAACTTCTGATGCTGAAATCCTACTGCCTCAAGGCATATCATTAAACTCTATAGCTGCTATTGACTTACCTGTTGAGGATATTGGCCATGCCTTGCAATTTCTAGAATTTTGCGAAGCTTTTGGAAAGGTAAACTTATTATCTGTTTGATGTAGTGTATATCCTAACGGAGAAAAAATGATCTTTTTTAGTTCTATACGCTCACTTGATTATTTTGTTTATAGCTGAAATTCAGAAATTGACCTTTTTCTCAGTTTAGCACGTAATTGTTAAATTGAGATACGTATCGTGTATTGAAATTTTATTTTCTAGTATTGAGTATCATATTGTATCATAAGATATGATAAAAATTTTTAAAATTAAGTATAAATAATATTTATACGTATGAAATAAAGAAAAAAATTGAAAGATATTATATTTTTTAACAGAATTGAAGATTATAGGAGGTAAATTGAAAAGATGATTTTTTTTAATTAAAATTTTCAACATATTAATTTTTAAATAAAATATACATTTTTTCATATTAATTTATTAATTAAAAATTAAAAAACATTTATCATGTTAAAATTAAAAGGGAATTCGAATTTTTTAGTATTTTTTTGTTTAAAATCTAAAGATTGCAACTCATAAAATATAATTTTTCATATTTCAACTCAAAAAATAATAAAAAATTAAAATTTTTAATAATTAATTAGAACTAAGCTTACAAAAGGTATATTAATTGTATTGATACACCTTCGTATAATAAAATTGCATATCGTATATCATACGATAGGCTTTCGATACTTGATCAAATGCGATACGATTATAGATACATATTGCTTTCTACTAGTATCATATCATACGATACATATCGTGTGTTGTACGATAATAATAACTATGGTTCTGCATGCTCACAATTTATTTAAATACACTCAAGTGTTTTCTTGTGTGCTTGAGTTAACTTTTCTAAACCTTATAAAGAACTAAAATGCTTCTTACAAGCTGCTGTTTGATAACTTTGGAAATTTTGAATGATTTATTTTCTTCAATGCGTCTGTTTAATGCATTTAGTCCAGATTGTTTTTGAATTTTTTTATTAGCGTTGAGTGCATTACCTCTACATATATTAATTAAAAAGTCTTCAAAACTATATGTACCATCTCTATAAAACAATGTCTCTTTTGTAAAAATCTCATCAAAATCTATTTACTATTTAGTTTTTGACTGCATATTAAACAATTAAACAATTTTAGATTATTTAACGATACCTAAAATGTTTTAAAAATTCTGCACAGTTAATTTGTAGTTTATCAAACAATACCTAAAATGTCTTACATATTTTGTTAATTTTTATTCTATTTTTGACTAAATTATGAAAAAAAATAACAATGAGGCAATTGTTCTTTTGCTATTGATTTCTATCTATTAAAGTATGTAGATATGTGTGCTATGTCTTTTATTTCATCTATGCAAACCCGAGATCTTACTTGTAGATAAAATTATGTCTGCTTATTTCTGAGGGTTTTATTCATTTATTGGTTGATGTTTAGGTTCTCAATATGAGGAAAGGACAGTCTCAACTGTTGCTTAGAGAGTTAGTTACTGGAAAAAGTAAACGTAGACATTCCCATTCTTCAATTGTGCAGTTTCATATCCAACTGCTTTCTGTGATGCAAAAGGATTCAGTAAAAGAGTATGCATGTTTAACTGGATTCTTATAAAAATACAGTTCCTTCTTGCAGTTGGTATTGATCATCAGAGCTTAATCTTTGTGCAGGTATCCTTGCCTAAATCAGAATTTAAGTGAAAATTCATGGTTGCAAGTTCTTAGAGAATACATCAGTGATTCTCGATATGCCTTAAAGCAGCAACTGTTGGATTGTTTAGATGTGTGTGATGATGGATATGAGCAATTGGATTCCTCTAAAAAACTTAGACTCTTAAACTTTCTCTGTGATGAAGCTCTTGGCACCACGTAAGTGACAAAGTTCTGCAATTAATTCTGCTCATGTTCATGTTTCCCTTTCTTTTCAGATTCTTATGGAAATGTATGAATAAAATATCATATTTCTTCCCTTCAGAGATTTTAGGAGCTGGATTGACGAAGAACATTCAAAATTTGTTGAAAAGGAAAAGAAAGCAAAAGAAGAACTTCTTGCTCGAAGAGACAAGGTAATAGCATCAATTTGGCAACTGCCATCCAACAAAGGTTAGTGTTAATGTTATGTCTCAGCTAGTCTGATCATAATCCTTTGCATAGGAGAGAAATCTGGAAAAAGAGATGAAGCGAAAGCTGCAGGATGAGATAGCCGAAGCTATTCTCATGAAAAATGGTGCTCCTCTGACCATTTCGGAGAATGAGGACCTCGTTTCAAAAATAAAGTCAGAAGTGGCTCAGACTCTTGAAGTAGCCCATACTCTTGCAAGTGCATTGGAAATGTCGGAAATGGTGATTGAGGGTATGTTCTGTATACTTATTGCAAATTTCGTAAGCTCTCCAGACTTTGTATTTGCATGTCAAAACAGTTTTCTTTGAAGTGATGAAAAGAACTAATTATCCAGAAAGAGCAGACTCATTTCTTCTCTGTCCAGTCTCAGCCTGTAAGAATTTCACAGCATAGTAGGCAGAAGCATGTTGTGTTCTTAATGCTTAAGGATCAGAGACATTTCCAAAGGAAATTCTTGCATTCCAGTCTTTCCCAAGACATGCAACTTCAAAATGAACAGTGGTCAACAGCATCCTTTAGGATTTTGAGGGCTGGATGACTGAAATGCCCATTCAAAAAGAGAAATCTAGGAAACCTAGCCACTCTAAGCCTGGGCCACATTAACATGATAACACCCACTGTATAGTAGATGGAGATAACATACTTGGAATCTCCAATTTCAAAAAAAAAAAAAATTAATACTTGGGATCTCCATGTAGTAAACAACATAACTGACTATTCAAAAGGGTAAGCTCTACAACTCACTAATCTAGCATATCAGCATAGTCCTAAAAAGGTAAATATTAAAAATAAAAGCCCATGTTGGTGACATATGGAACTGCTTGGCAAAGGTTGCAGGAGCAAGCAAGGTCCCGTTGATCATGGATGGACTGATTGTACATCAAAGAATATTTTCTCACTTGTAGATTACTAGAAGTTGTGGCTTTCATGTACCCATAAATTAAAACACTCCACTGGTGAATTTAAAACTGGGTCATATAAGGCATACTCTAGTCATTTGGGCACCATGACTTTCATATGTCAGTTAGATTATTTCTTTTGAAATATACCATATTTTTTTGCACCTTCTTTACCATAAATATGGTTTCTTGATAGCAGTTCTAGGGTTGCTGTTCTCTATTTGAATATTATGAGGATGCGTAGCAGTTTGCAGTACCCTATGCTTTTAAAAATTGCTATGGATCATGATGCCTTAGAAACCAATAAAAGCCTGAAAGATTGTCTATTTATCCTCTTTAAAATTATTTTTCAGTTTTTTGCTTAAGTATGTAAAGAATCCCTTCATTTCCTACTATAAGTTCTATGCTTTTACAGGTGTTTGTCAAGCCATACTTGTCTGAGCATGCGTTTAGTCTGTGCTCACTTGCTCTCAACTCAAATGTCCCAATTGACATTAACTTGAACTTCTCACTAATGCTATTTTCAATTCTTTGGGATCTCATAAAGGAAACTTTTAAGATAAATGTGTGGAATGGGAATATTAGTTTGGCCTATTGATGATACTGTTCTTACACTACCTTTGGAGAAATTTGGTTAAAGGGGCAAATCATATTTCAACACCATTAAAATTGATCATAACACCAATAATTATCTTTACTATACAATTTCAGCGTTACCTCCATGCTTGTTGTTACATTGCCTTTAATAGTTGCACAAATGAATCCCAATGCACTTAATTCAGCTGATGTATTTTACTTTGCAATTAATGCCCAAAGAAGACTGGCGATCAGATGCCATTCGATCTGAGCCAATATTTTGGGATGGCCATGGTCATAAATTTGAAAAATTCTGGAGATTGAGAGGCTACTCTGGTGAAACAGATATTCTGCTTCAAGGTTTGTCTTTTAATTATCCAAAATTTGAGTTTCTTCATATCAACCAAACTGCCATTTCATTTGTTTCCCTAATTGTGCAGATATTGAGGGGAGAGATTTAGTTACAGCTAAAGAAAGATGGTACACCTACAGCACTGAACAAAAAGCAATGGTTGATAAATATATTTCATCTTTCAGGTACCAAAAAGGAAGATTTTATTTTCCCACCTCTTTTGGCAAATTTGTCTTTTAGACTTGATCATGGAAAGTTGGCAGATTAAGTGATAGTTGGAACCGGCAGTTAGTGGGCTATATATAGAGCATGCAGAAGATCATTTATAAGATTGATTTCCGTTTATCCTTATTTTATTTTTTTGCCTATAGCTGCTGTAGTTATAGGGAGACACAAACATGTATTTAGCTTACGATAATACTGCTGCGTATATTTCATGGGGAGAATCACATCTTATGCTATTGGTAGGATATGTTATGGTAACGAGAACAGACTAGAACCCCAGCCCTGCAGGAAGTCCACCCCCTAAGGCTGGGTGGGCAAACCATCTGTCCAAGCACCAGGTTCAGTGTTAACAGTTTTCTAGCCAATGGTAAATATTGGTAATTAGATTTCACTTGAAAGTTAAGTTGGCAGAGAGGGAGATTTGAACCGAGTATCTCCTTAACTAAGCAGCTATAAATATGGATATTTTATATGTTGGTTAGTAACAATTTTGCTATTCTCCTTGATGTTCTTTCATCAACCCATGTTCTTGGACATCATGCTATTCTTGATTGGTTAAGAAGATGCTTTCCTTTGTTGATTGCTGCATAAGGGTTTTCAATTTTCAAGCATTCTATCAAACTATAATCTTCTACATTTTGTTCTTTGTTTGCAGGATGCAAAGGAAATGAGCAAGCGATATGCCTTGTATAATTTCAAGACATATTATAGTTAGTGCATAGTATCAATCTATAGCTCCAAACTCTTCAGGAGGGCAAATGTTTTTGTACACCAATGTTGAGGAGGTAATTATGCCTTCTTTCTTCTTTTTTTTTTTTTTTTAGGAAGCTTTAGGCTCTTCTCCACTTACATGGTGTCCTCTGATGACCATGTCTGTATGGAAACTTATTTCTTCAGTGTATGCCACTCAAAATACTTGTAATAGATTGTTATGATCTCCCAATTCTTTTCCTTGTTTGGATGTCCAAGGAAATTGAATAGTTACCGACTGAGCTGTAGCTACAACTCTGGAGGGCTTGAAACACCTCTTATCTGCAAATGGATAAGAGAAGGAAAGGGATAAATCCATAAATAACAGTCTCTAGATGACCACAAACAATGGAAAATCTTAAAATGGAGGTATGGGTATGCTGATGACTTACCCAAAATTGCTTGTAAACGAAGAATGCAGGTATAAAACGAAAGCAATGAGATTGAGTAGATGGTCCGGGCCATGAATTGTACCCAAGAGGAAATGAGATATTAATGGCTATGGAAAACATGCTGTGGCAGCAAAGAAGATGCCGATTTGCTCAAGAACTTTTCCAACCAGAAGTGAAGAGAAGGCAAGGCAAGTAGGATGGCAATGGAAAACAAGTAAAATGCAGGAAGGATGGAGCCGCTGCCAGACAAAAGCCAGCCATTAATATTTTTATTAACCGATCATTGGCTCGAATAATCGAGCGATTGAGCACTGCTCCGATGGCCTGACACCTTAAACGGTTTATTGCCTGATTTTGATAAATTATACAAATATTTCTATTCATTATAAAAATCGATTTTTCTTATAAATATGAATCGATTTTATTATATATTGAATTATATCGTATTGAATTTTCAAACTTTAGATATTTTTATTAAAGCTTTTATTATAAATCGATTCTGGTTGATATTTTTTTCAAAAATTTGAATATGCTCTATTTTTATTATATATATATATAATAAAAATAGAGCCAGGAAGCAAATAGTTTAAGTCATTTTTATTATTAATAATTTTTTGTATAAAAATATTACCAAATGTGTTTTATCTTTATTTAAAAAAAACAGAAATAATGTTTCATTACCGAACGCCACTTAAATTTTAAAATCCTACCTCAGACACTCCTGGCGCTCCCGCCCTTTCCCGAGCCGAACGGGAAAAAGTAGAAAAAGAAATTAAAATCAAAGTAGAAATTAATTGACGAATAGTTTGGATAGAGAGAATTAAGATGGAGGATTCTGGAGCTATTCTCTATCAAATTTCTTGTCTCAAGGACATGCTCGATCAGGTTTTTCCTTTTTATTTTTTATTTTTTACAATTTATTGGAATTTTGTAGTAAAGAATATTCCAACAAATCTGTTATTTGATGAATTTACGACAGGTGAATGAAGAAATCGAAGCCAACATTCAAATAACGCGAGAGATAGAATCAGAGATCGTCAAGTTAACGGAGATCGAAGCTGCTCTTGCTATCAGAGAATCGCAGCTTGTCAAGTCGCTTTACATTTCTCACTTCGAAATCGATGGCTTGCTCTCCGTCACCGGTATTCATTTCTTATTTTTTTTCCTAATAATTTCACATTTTTTATTATTTAATGATTTCTCTGCTTGAATTCAAATCTTCTATTTTTTTTTCTTTTTTTTTTTTAAGCTGATTCAAGGAATTCGCTTAAACTTTTGGAGGAGGAGTTAACTTGTCTAAGAACAAAACGAGATGAGATGCTAACAAGGATCGAAAATAAACGGTATTTATTTATTTATTTATTTATTTATTTATTTATTTTCTCATTAATTTCACTCAATTATGCCTTTAGATTACACGTTCTGCTATTTTTGAACATTACTTTCAAGTCTTGTAACCAGAATTAAATGAATATATAGTTATAAATGTAGCATATATAGTAAGAAGTAAAATCATAGTATATACTATATTTTACTATTCAAAATTTTTAATTAATTTTTGTAATATTTTTTTTTATCGAAATTCAATTTTTACTTTTTTGCTTCCAAAATCAAAAAACAAGTTGCAAAAGTAATAGTAACTAAAAGAGGTTTCATTTAATAGATTTTTTGGGTTAATCTTTAATAGTGAAAAGAAAATTGAGAAAAGTAATGGAGGACTATGAACTTTTGCATAAATTATTTAGTGAGAGAATTAGTAACTTTTATGATTATTTTATAAGATTAACCCAAAAAAATCTATAAAATTAAGGCCATAGTCCTGTAAATTTTCTTCAAAAAAAAGTTATAATGGAATCAGTAATGCGGAAATTATGAACTGTTACTATAAAATATTGAAAAATGTTATTGTACTTCTAAGTGGTAACTTGTTGATGGAAACCTACATACTATCCAGCTGAAGTTTTACAAGATTATGCAGTGATTGTCTGAGTAATCATATGCTATCTTCCCATATGTTTCTTTAAGTTTTGAAGAGTCATAATCCAATTAATATCTCTCATAATGCAATGGTCGGCTGCATTAGTTATTCAATATCTATGTTATCTTTAACAAATGTTTAATGCAGATACCGATTGCTTCTTGTTTGTTTGGTTACAGAGAAGGGTTTATAAAACTGTGCTTAGAATTTCAGAAGGAGATTGGCAATGGGGAAAATAATGAAGTGATGACTTTGCTATTGGAAAAGGAGCTTCTCGAGAATGAAATTCATCTATTGGATAAGAAAAATAATGCTTTGAGAAATTCAATGTCAGCATTTGTGGAAGAAATTCTTGAAGAACTTTATACTTCAAATGCTGGTAAAGCTATATTATTCTTTTCAGTATTAGTTTCCAACTCTTGAGGCATGTAGAAGCTTCTTCTAAATATGAACATGTTTTTGCCTTTTATCTGTTGTTTGGATTACATGCTTTGTTAATAAGATCAACTAAGTCTTAAACCATTATCCCTTGCCAAGACTAGGTCATCTCTTACGCTCAGCTTGTAAGCTGGCACATTATCAATTTTTCTTTAGCAGCCTATCAACATGTCACCCCAGGAATCTATGAAGGTACCACCAGCACCAGCCTGGCTCTCGGGTTGCCCAAGAGGCATTTTCTGAGTTTAACCACTCTGGCCTTCTGGAGCAGGTGGTTTCCAGTTTATGTTTAGAACAGATCTAGACTTAGAAATTGGAAGGGGGAAGAACCGGATGAAAAAATTCCAATGAATTCTGGATCATATAGTAAGAAGGAATTTACTATAATCACGGATGCCTTCAAAGATACATTTCTTCTTGATTGTTTTATTTGGACTAGCACAATGGCCCAACATATGTATTTGTGTCTATAGTTCCATAGGCTGATTTATTCCCTATTTCCCATTGCTTTGACCTCCCATTCCCATGGATTGAGATCTCTTCCATTACTTTCCGATATATCCATCATCATCATCATCATTCACATTTGCGAGATCTAACCATAAATTGTAGTCCCACATATGTGTGTGATGATTAAAGGTGCATTGGAAAGTAGTAAAAGTAATGGAGGGGCCCGAACCCCATTCCCCCCAGCCCAGAGAATCAAGGCAAAGAAAAAAAAAATAAAAAAAGTTCTCCCTCATGTGTACAGTGTGCTTGCATAGGCACATGCCTCCACATGCACACCTTGATACTTTTTGCTAGGTCATGAGAAAGGCTAACAAGAGAATAATGGTTTTGAATACAAGGACATAAAAGGAATGTTGCAACTTGGAGGTATTCTTGATTAGTCGGATTCAGAAGTGAGTGTTGGGTATAAGGATCATTATACCTGGAGAGTCGGACCTCCATACCCATTTTCATCATTTATGTATCAAACAAGGGTACTTCAAGGAAAATGAAGTCGGAGCAGCATGTCGTTGAACAACTAACAAGGATCCAGTAAGTTGAGGAAAAACAGGGATAATGTGATAAGAACCATTTTCATCATTTTAAGTTCTTTGTATGGAGAGGGAAGATGTTTACTGTTTTTGGAATATGGTAGATCAAGGAAAATGTTCCGGCTCGGATGTTTATGAGATGCTTGGATATCAATTAAACGAACTGTCATATTTTCAAAGACACATGCTAGTGTGAAATTGTATTTTCTGAATAATTGTGATAGGTGTATGATCATTTGATAGATGAGACAGAAAAAGAAAGGTCTAGTAAAGTTAGGATGATTTGGGCATCAAATTCCCTGCAAGAGTCCAATAGATATCAAATTATAGGAATGTGTTTAGATCAGACAAATAGCCATTCACTCCAAGTTGGTGACTTTGGCAAGATTTCTCCGACAACATATCTGACCTGTCACATTTGTTTGCTCAATGCAGCTTTGCATGTTGAGATACAGAATGGGAATCAGGAGAATGAGAAATTAATGAAGGATATTGAAGACTTGAAGATTATCTACTGTAAGTTCTTTGTATTGATTTGAATATTACATTCCCGCTATTATCCTCGTTGTGTTTAATTTCCTGTATTATCTATGTATTGTTAAGAATGTGACACTATATGTTTAAAGTTAAATTATGTGATGTCTTCCTTGTACATTTCATCACGCACATAATGAGTTAAGGACATGGAGAGGGAGCGCTAAGCATACACTTACAATCTTGACCAGCAATTTAGTTTCTTTTACATATATATTTGTGGGAAAACAAATTAGAAGGAAAGTTTCTATATTTTTTAATTGAATTTGAACAGTTTCAAATTCAAACTTTATTTATGCTTATAATATTGCTGCCACCAGCATACTGTTTCAGTCTGCAGGACACGTTAAACCTTATCGACTCCAACCATTTTCTTAAGTCAACAGTTTAAGACATGTAGAAGAATTTGTAAGAATGTAATCAGAAGCATTTGAGCTCATTTTCTTGTATCACAATGGGTTTTCTAATGTGTAGGAATCTCAAAACTTCTAGACAGAATATTGCCATTAGTTAGTTAGTTCATTCTCATTGATATCTTCAACATTTGAGAAAAACCTTGGTTTTCCTTTCATTTTTAAGGAGTGTATTTTCCTCGTCAATTTTTGGTAGCAACGAGGTCTTGGCTTTGAGGCTTCCTAGTGACATCGAGGAAGGAAAGAGGGGTTGAACAGTTGCCAAGTGTGAGATTAAAAATTCATATTATGACACGATGGTTAGAAAAGTTTAGCGGACCTCAATTTAGAATCAGGTATGGTGCATATGCTATGTTTCTTCTAGGCACCAACTAAATAAATTGATTACAGATGCATGCATTTGTTGTTCAGATTCTTACTAGTTTTGATCTGATCTCATTGGATGCTTTACTTTGTTGAACTTTCCTTGCATCATGTGATTTCCTGAACCTCCTTACAACCAGTACTGACTATTTTGACTCATAGTTGATCTTGCAATTTGAGCAGCAGTGGCTCACATGATTTATAGACATTTTGGCATTAAATTCTTGTGAAGCTATCCATTGACTGTACTGAAAGCTTGAGACTAGTATACTGTGCTTGATTTAACCTACACACCTTCAAAATTTTACCTCTTATTTGAAACCCATAGAAGAAGGGAAGCTATCAACGTAAACTTTTGCAGTGATACAGAATTCCTTTACTAATAAAGGTTGGCATTTGGTTATTTGGTCACATGTGTAGGTAGAGAGACTAGCTAGTCAAAGTTTGACTTCCAGGGTCGTAGCATTATAGAACCACAGACTTGGAAGTTGTACAAGAAAAGGAGAGTTCCTTGATCTCCCTTCCAGGTTATGTGCTGTAAAAGTTTTCATATCTGTTCAGTTCTGGCAGTTCCCAGAAGGAGTGGGGGCCGACTCCGATCCTTTCTGAAAATTTTTGTACGTCATCATCCACTATACCCTGGTTTTGTCGCTTTTCTTTAGGGCCCGGCTAGATGAAACTTCACCTGCTTTAAATTCAGAGATGAACTCCGTCTGCATCTGTATTTTTGATGATTTTAATTTTTTTCACGTGGATAACTTCTATTTATACACTGATCGTGAGAACAGAATTTATTTATAGAATATTAATTGAAAAAAATTAAGATCATAAAAAATATAAATATAGTTTCACTTAGTACTTTATAGCCATAGAGCATTTTCTAGATGGGTAGGGACAGGGAAACACAGTGAAAGATCAATTTGAAAACTCTGCTTAAACTTAGATGACTTGAGGTTGTGCATGCTCATAAAGTAGAAAGTTTTTCTCCTTATCATCATCACCGCCACTTTTATCTAAATAACAATTATTGCATGTCGACTGTAGAAACTTTGACCCAGTGGCTAGGTTTTCTTGTTTAAGATTTGCGGGAGATCCGGGGGTTTGAACCACCATCTCTCCTAATCTTGCACCATTATTGCCTCCCATGTACAAAGCTCTTTATGTACTAGGTGATTTGATAGTGTTTAATTTGGTAATTCAAGTGGAATTGTACTTGTTTGTTTTCTTGGTTGATGTCATTTCATTGCATTGAAGCTACTGCTGTAATAATTTGAAATGATTGATCTTATTGTTGCATAGGACTAAAAAGGAACTGTAACTTGAATCAGTACTTTTCAAGTTTTAATTCTCTTCCACGACAGTTCAGGTCTCTTTGGCACCCAAAAGGGATACAATCAATGAAGCAAAAGTGGAGGGAAAAGGTTGTGGAAACTGCTTCCCCTCCCCCGCACCTCTTCCCATATCTATCAAAGAATGGAAAATGATAGGAAGCTCCATCATTCAAAAGAAAGAAGCAAAGCTCCCCAACAGAAATAGAGGTGATGGTTAAACAAAAGAGAGGATGTGGTTCAAAACCATGTCGTAAGCTTAGGTTGTCGTCCATGTCACAGACAACAGCCATGCCTGTCTCGTGAACTTCACGTGTACCCGGTCGACCCGCTCCGTACCATACAGCTATGTCTTTTCCATTTATATATATATGCATTGGATTGAACAAAAGCTCACCCTGGGTCCTCTTTTATGACCAGAAATGTTAACAAAAATTATAAGCATTAAATAAAAAATAAAGCTTTTGCTTCTAGCTAAGTCTCTGGGGTCTTAATAGAACAGATTAATTAATCCTTACAGCAAACATCTTTGTTTTTCATTAAGGTTTATCTATCTTCATTTTGTGGGTGTTTGTGTATGAATAAGCATTCTTGATTTATTAATTTTTAGAATCAAAGCTCAATCTGGTTTCACTTTTTCTATCAATGAACTTGTAACAGGCTGCTTCAGGTGCTGCAAGGAATGAAAGGAGAAAAGGAGAAACAAAAAGTTATGGCTGCAGAGTGATTTGCACACAATGTAAGTTGGAAATTAGAAACTCTCTCTTGTGGTCTTCCTGTCTTTGAAAAGTTGTCCACTTGTGCCAAACAACCCTTGATGATGGCATCTCTGCACTGGCCAGCCAAACTTTTTGTTTTTAAGACCCTTTTCTCCCCACCTTGAGATATAAAGTTACCCTTTTTTTCTTTTTCATAGCAAAGAATAGAGAAATAAAAAAAAATATAAAATCTAAAATTTTTTTAAAACATTCATGACAATGTAAATAAATTTTTATATTTTTATTATATTTAATTAAATTTTATATAAAAATTAAATAAAATTTTATAATTAATTATTAATTTAATTTTAATATAATATATTAATATATTATAATTAATAATATAATTATATAATATTTTTTTACTTTCTACATCAATATCACTTTATTATCATATTAATATAAAATAATAATAATATTTTAATTAATAATAATTAAATAATTATAATTGTAATATTTTATATAATTTAAAATAAAAAATATAAATTAGATTGAATTTAATGAAAAATAAAAATTTATTTAAATTTTTTAAAATAATTTTTTTTTTTTTTTGTATTTTACATATATATATATATATATATATAACACGTGTAAGTGCACAAGAAATTGGACCAAGAAAATGGCCCTAGGCTTGCTTACAGATGTCACAGAGATGAAGTACCAGTGAGAAAGCGGGGATGGGGAGTGTTTTGTTTGGTTTCTGAACATATTTCCACATGATAGGGTTGGGGTCCGAAGTGCAGTGCCCGGTGAAAAGAGAGACATAAAAAACACAAACATATCCCTTTGTTCAACCATATTCGGTTTCTTTGTTTGGGCCCAGGTGGAGCCTCCACCATACCTTCTCCTTCCTATAAGAATACTTCCTTTTCTTTCCTGCTCCTCTAATTCGTGCAAACCCCTCACAAAAAGAGCAGAGTCAATCATTATCACTCACTCAAACTCCAAGAATGATCCATCCATCCAGCAGAGAGAACTGAGTGCAAAAAAGGTTCACTGAATTCTTAGAGCCAACCAATTAGACTTTAAAAGAAAAGGCAAATAAATCCCATTATTGATAAAGAAGAGATGAAGATGAAAAACTCTACAATTGGAGGGTCTAAGAGGAGGTGTTCATGCAAGGGAATTGGAGGGTTCCTTAGGGAAGAAAGAGGTAGGCTTTACATAATAAGAAGATGTATTATCATGCTTCTCTGCTGGCAAGACTGAAAATATGTGGGGGGAGAAATTTTAAGTATCTCTACATATGTTGCTGCTTGGAAGCTACCTGCTACTAGCTTTAGATTTTCTTTCCTTTTCTTTTTTTTTTTTCTGTTATATGTGTATATCATATATAATGATCATCTTTTCTTGTCTTTCACTCTATGTGCTCCTTTCCTTGTCCTCTCCTTCTCCCTTGCTATATATAACAAGTTTTTCTCTATGAAATTATATGGTGTGAATTTTATGCTTGAAAACTTGATTCAGTGAAAGAATCTGAATCTCTTAACTTCAATCTTTCCATCCCAGACCTATAGTTTGATCCTTTTCTTTTACTTGCTTGCATACTTAAGGATAGTGTTAATTACTTATTTCATTTCAACTTCTTATACTAGTCTTAGAGTTTTGCTTTTAGCATAATTTCTCACCTTCTTATCATCTTTCACATGTTTTGTCCAATTAATTACAAAAAAAAAAGAAAATAATCATCTTATTTTCTGTTCTCTCTTTCTCCATTTACTTATTTTTTTATTCTAATTTTAACCCTTTTTTTGGGCTTGGTGATTCCTTAAAATATCAGTCTTTCTGCATTGATGGGACTCCAGATCAGATCATGCCAGTGTGGTAATTCTTAAACATTCACTTTATGCAATGCATAAACTGTTAAATTTCAGTCTTGAAATGGGGTTTTCATCTTTGATATGAAGGAAGCAAAATCTAATAAAAACCCTAAACCCAAAAGAAGAAAACCGATCACCCAGATTTATACCCAAAGGAAAAATAAAAATAATAATAATAATAAATACTAATACTTGGATGTCCCTTTTGATGATGGACAATAAAGAATGATCAAAGAGGAAAGTGGGGTTATATAATCAAAGTGTAATGATTAGTTTTAGATAATAACGGATTTGATCAAAGAATTAATTAATCCTCACCCGTGCTCCCACGCAGATTCTGATAAAGTAGATTTTGTTGACTGCATATCTATGCATGTGAGAGAATATTGTTTGTTTGGGATATTAATTTTTTATATTAATTAATTATGTTGTAAATAGGTCTTATTTTTTTGTTATTTATCTATCTTACATTAATTATGATATTATTTTATGTTCCTTTATTTTTTTTTACTATAACGATTTTTCAAGTAAAATAATAAAATTATCGATCAAACAGAATTTAAATATTTTAAATATGATTAATATATATATATATATATAGTAATGACACTACCTCGAGAGGTGTCACATGACATGTGTTGAATGAAAAATTAATTCCTCTTTACCTCGTATTGTCACATGGGATACTCCGTACCAGCATATAAGTTCCACATGGTATATCAAGTATACATTTCGTCGAGTTTGTTTCTAACACCTTTGATTAATAGAGAAATGAAATAGACAATGAAATTATGTTAGGAGTATAATTTAACCAGATTAACTAATTAATAGCACATTGTTGTTTACCAAATTGATTAATATTAGGTAAATTGTAGTTGTTACACGAAGAAAAGGAAATAATAATTAGAGAAAAAGATGAGAAAAGAAAAATAAAAGAGAGAAGAAAAGTTGTTTCTTCTTCATTTTCTTCGACAAAAAGGATTGCAAATAAGGAGAAAAAACTTTTTTAAACATTTTATTATAAGTAGGTGCTTATATATCTTATTCAAAGGGTTGGATTAAATTTTGATTTTTCTATAATAAAAAAATTCTCATCTTTAATCTGTTAAAAGTTTTGAATTTGGTTTGAGTTAATTTTGTGAATTTGAATAAAGGAATAAACTGAATAAATTTTTCTTTTGAATATGTCAAAGTGAATAAAATAACAATTGCATAATGTTTGGAAAAACTCATAAAATATTCAAGAAAATTCAAATAAATATTTATTATTTTATTGTATTCAATTAAATTCTTGTATTTTCATTTTCAATCAAATATGCCTTTATAATTAAGAGTTAATTAATTGTCATTAATTTAAATATTGCATATCATTTTATATCCATATAATGATAGTGAAAAATATCACATGGCTATATCATTATATCAAATTAATATATTATGTTATTATCACATGACATATTAACGTGCTATACGTTAACATCAAGTAGCATAGAGTGATAAGAGACATTCTAATTAACAACCGTTAGTCAATAATTAATTATAAAAATTTATTTAATTCAAAAAACATATAAGAATTTAATTGAATGCAATAAAAAAATAAATACTTATTTAAAATTTTCAAAATAATTTAGAAATTTTTGAAATCTTATGCCCATAATAAAAGAGTATATTGAAAGAAATAATGTTAAAATAAATTAAAATGAGAAATACAATTAAAGAGTGAAATGTTTGAAAGGGAAACAATTTGGTGAGATATTGTTTCACATCAAATAGAAAATCAACTAACCCGTGACATTCACATGAATGTATGTTATATATGTTCACTCGAATCTTATCATGATATAATTGATGTGTGATTGAAAAAATATCAAAGTCAAAATGCTAAACTCGATTAAGGTCGGTCCAAATTATTTCAAAGAGATGTACATCATTTGTTCATATTTGATACAATGTTATTATCATATCATTTATAAAATAAAATTTAAAATTATTTATTTTTAAATATTTGAAATTTTATCTTTATATATTTATGAGATATTTTATGATTATATGATAGTATATAATTATTATTTGTATATTTAAAAAGGAAATGAAATAGCGCGTGACATGCACATGCATGCCATTGCTTGAATTCAATTTGACATATAATTGATTTGTATTTATTATTTGAAAGAAGAAAATATGGGATGTGATCAAATAATGTATCATGCCAAATATGAGATCAAGTGACACCTGATCTCCATATGGATACCGTACGCATTTGCTCAAATATGAGGTCAAGTGACACGTGATATCCATATGGATACCATACGCATTTGCTCAAATGCCTTACAAGAAATGTGACATGTGATTGACATGATATGGATGATCTGGAGCTAGTTGCAATCACATATAAGGAAAAATTCATCTTAATTAAGTCATACATTTTATTTAATAAAACTTTATTCTGTCGAAAGATGTAATCCACAAGAACTTAATAATTTAGCCCCTGAAAGGCACTTCGATGTAACAAAAATATGCTATTTGATGTAATACTTAAAAAAAAATTATGAATTATTTAAAAAAATTTAAATATTTTTTATTTTTATAATATTTAATTAAATTTTTATATTTTTATTTTAAATTAGATAAACTCTTAAAATCAATTATTAATTAATTATTGCTAGTTAAACACATGACGTTAACATGTCATAATAGATGATATAATATGTTAATGTGATACGATGATATAATAATAAGATATTTTTTACCTAACTTCAATGTTATATATAAGTCAAATAAGTATAAAATAACAAATAATATTTATATTAATAATAATTAATCAACTGATAATTATGTGTCTATTTGACTTAAAATTAAAATGTAAAGATTTGATTAAGTATAATAAAAAAATAATAATTTATTTAAAGTTTCTTAATTTGAAGATCTTGAGTTCGAATTATAAAAAGAGAGAGCAAGATTTACAAAATAACATACTTATCTCTTTTCAAGTAGCTTAAAATCACATATGACAAAAAAAAACATTTAATAATATATTTTTATTTTTTTTCATAACTAATTGTTTAATTTTAATTCATTTTTGGTAATATTTATGCTACTAAGAATAATAATATTAATAATTATTTTCCAAAATTAATATCCAGGATAATGATTTAAAATGCACAATATTAGATTTTTTTATTTCTTTATGCCACTAAACAGTAAAAGGTGCTAAAAAGAAAATGAAAAATGGATAAAGAAAAAGCGGAGAATGTGGGATCCAGATCACACGTCGGCAAAAAATAACCAAGAGAACTCAACGTACGAATAAAAGCGCGTGTACAACAAGGACCAATGAACTAGCGACAGAACAGCAAAAGCCTGATGGCAAATAGTGAGAGCTGATTGGCTTTGCTGTCGAGGATTGTACCCTGTTGGAGGAGAACTGGTTGACGTAAACGACATGACAGCAGAGAATAACAACCCCACGTGGAAATCTAATCCTCGGCCCCACAAAAATTTCCTTGGAATCCAAACATGGGTCCCACTTCCCTTGTCCCATTTCATAATCATAATTGAGTCCCCCCCTGCGTAATCAACATGCTTTGAGTGGCTAATCAAAGTCATTTTCATGAGCAAAGACCATCTATTTTTTTTCTAATTTTAAAAGATATTTTTCTCCAATTAATCAGATATTCATCTTTCGATTTCACAGCAATACCATATAAAAAGAACTGATACGGAAATTTTTAAATAATTACCTTGTACAGAGTCAATTTAATATGAAATAATTAGTAAAATCTAAATCTAATACGATATAAGATCGTTTAATATGATTACGATACAACATGATTAATGAAAAAAATAATTGATGTAATTATTGATATAAATATAATTTTTAAATTAAATTTTAAACTCTAATCAATTTATATAAATATCTCTTTTCAAATCATATTATATGTCAAAATTATCATTCTTTATCAATATTCATAGAAAATGAGAATGAACTCTCTCTAATCCTTTTTCGAAAGGAAGAAACAGATCTGGTTTAATTTAAATATGATATGATGATTATGTTAATTAATTAAATAAGATAAAATGTTACGTATCTTAATTAATAGGAGAAGAAATAGATTCTACGTTTATAAGTAAGGAGCTTTCACCCAATAATTGTGTTTTTTAAGTTCAAAATGAATATGTGTCATCTATTTTTATTATTCTTTTTTTTTTTTAAAGTTGGTTCAAATGTGAAAAATGGTACTCTAATTAACACATTTGTTGGAGATAGTGCTTTAAGAATGCTACTATTGTTTAATTTAAGAAGAATCAAAGTACTTAAATCATTTGAAATTAGGGTTTTGAAAAGAGCTAATAAATGCAGAATTTAGACATAGATATGGATGGTATAGAAAGTGATTTTCCTAATTTACAAGAGGCAATCCTTCCCCCTAGCAACTTATTTTCTTATCTTCTTCTTCCTTTTACTATATCTCATCTTGGGGAGGGGTTAAGTAGCTGGCTTGGTTGAGTTTGTGCATACCTAAAACAGATCATAGCACACCCCCACCAACAAAAGAAAAAAAGAGAGAGAATCTTAGCATTAGATCAGTAAAATTACAGTAGGCTCACTATGGCTATGAGAATCAACAAATTGACAACTCAGAAAAAAGAATAGAAGCAAAAGTTAAAAGAGTCAATGTCAACTCAATCAAAGCTTGATTGACCTGCTTTCTCATGAGAAATCATTGTTTGTAAATACTAGGAAATGAGATTCGTGTAGTCATACCATACCATAACTTTTACCCTGATAAATTCTGTATTAGAGTTAAATGGTGCAATGTATGAGAATCAGTAAGACCATGCCTGGCACAGAGAAAATTGGAACCATGGAAGATGGTCTGCCAAAAAGAAGTATGCTTGGCAAGAGATTAAAGATAAATTCTGAAAATTTGCAAATTTTTCTTTTCCTGTTTTTCCTGAAGTTACCTATCACATGGCTTCATGTAGCCTATAATGAAGAGGAGATACAGTTAATTAATATGCTACTAGTGTTCATATTACTTTCTCATTTTTCTACCCTACTTTGCAAAGGGGTACTCTTGTTTTACACTCCATCAATTTTTCTTCCCTTACATATATCTATATTTTCTACTAGTATTTTGTTACACCTATTTTACTCATCCACTCATGTAAGATATAAATGCTAAAAATGAAAACTATAGTCCAGGGGAATAAAGTGTGAAAGTAAAGTCTAAATGCTCAAAAAGGCGAACTACAGTCAAAGGAAAGAGTGTAATGGGTGTATGGACAACTGTGATTGACAAATTATAAGCAAAACTCAAGGATCGAACAAAAATACACAGCTCCATCAGAAAATGATGAAATTTGGAAGCAATTCCATTCCAAAAGCTATCATTTTGCAAGCTTATATACAATCAGAAGTGAGGGCATTGCTTGAACTAATGCATTAAACATTTTAGAGTGTAAAAATCCTAGTCAGGACTATTCATTATCAAATGACTAGGATAAAATTAATGTCTTCACCTAAGGGAAACTTTCGATTAGCATACCACACTCGAAAATGAATGGAATGTACGGGTGTTGATGCAGTCTAATACTTTCAGCAGCAAGGTACAAGCATGTTGACAAAACCAAGAGGCTTCAGTCTTCCCACCACTTCAACAAAATCAGGGAATCTAAGGTTGTCTATAACAGATATAATTTAAATCAACATATCTCTTCTGCAAATATGATGTCAAAGATGTATTGTACTGCAAAGGGAGTTTACAATGAGCAGAAGTTAGAACCAATATGCCCAAACACAATATAATCAAACTGCAAAAGACCAGGGAAGAATACTTCTGTAAACCACTGTATTTTTGACGAATAAAAAACAGGAAGAAGACTGCTAGGAGATAAATAGATAGATTCAGACTCCTAACATTAATCATTGCTAGTATAGGAATCATTGCTAGAATAAGCTAATAATCACAAACATTGCTAATATAATTTGATACATTCAAGCTACTTTAATATCATTCTGTATGCGCTTCCAGAAAAGACTAAACAGAAATTTTTTTCAATTCAATAACATGAAGGTATTAAACTATCTTCTACTTTGAGTATAACTAATATTAATATCCATTAAATTAAATATCTATGAAAGGACTAGTGGCTGCTAATCAGTGAACAATGGCTTCACCAGGATCAAGGATTACTTTGATAATCAGGCTCCGCTTCCGAATGCAAAGGAGAAATTGGAATTCTATTGGAGCATGCCAAACAGAAGATATGCCTCCTACCATTCTTTCTAAAATCAGTTAAGATGCTTCACAAACCCTGTTTTCTTTTTTGTTTATGTTTTTTCTAGCATCTTGATAACAAAATACACTTTGATCCAATTCTTGATTCACTTGTCCGTTATCTTGTGTTGTTTACCAGTCTTTGTCACATCATAGGTGGAACGTGGATTTGCCCTACATGACAGGTTTTAGATGCCTCATCATGCTTTTATGGTAAGTTGACTCAATAACCCAGGAAATCCCATAGGCAAGACAGAGCAATCTCTACCTATCAGCATCAGTATCTCTTAAAAAAATATGATTTTAAGAAAATTGATTATTATTGTAATGAAAAAATCAAATAATTTAATTAATGTTCATTAGGAAATCAAGGTAACAAATACCATATACAAAATAAATCTAGCAAGCTTTATCCACAATGTACCTTCCTCTTTTACTATATTGGGTTGATCAACCAAAAGTTGCTGAACTGCGCCTAGATCACTGGAACTACAACGTCAAGAGAACACATTATGATCAAAAAGCCTTGGATTGTAGAATGTATTAAAAGCAATTCCATTTCATTAATAAGTTATATATACTTACTTTAAGAAACCAAGAAGCAATTCTATATGTTTGTGCCGGAAAATGATGAATAAGCACAGATTATTACACATCAAAAAGTAGACAAGCTAAAATAGGCTTATCAGACAAACTAAAATCTCATAAATATAATTGTAGAGATCTATTCCAAAGCACAAAGAAGAAATAAGTTGAAAAGTAGGGGATTCAAAGGTCACAAGGCAGATTCCTAGTTTTAGAATTTACCTCCCCATAAGACACATTTGAGAAAACACAAAAGTAAACACATGATCAAAAATAAAATTTCTGATAGAATCATAGCCATATAATAACATTCATTGAGGAAATTTCAACAACATATTTTGTTTTTCACACAACTCGATACCTAAGCTGGATAAAGGACACAAGGTGAAATTTATTGAGTTTCTAAATTGCAAGATAAGGAGTTTTCCTTACTTTGGTCTCAAGGCAAGCACTGAAAGTGCGGAAACCAATGATGATTTAAGCAGGTACCTGGCAAACACAAAAAGGGAAATTAGTCATTTAGAATTCGTACGTTATCTTAACCAAAGTGTTTATCAACACAGCTCTTGAAACTTCATAAATTAGAAAGTACAACCCTAATAAATCCACCGAAACATAAACAATCCCCAAAGTCTTACTTCTATCATATCATCAAAATGAAACAGGAAGCAGTTGATAAAAGCATTTTGTAAAAACTTTTGAAAGATGAAAATGTTCATTACTCAGCAAGGTGCATTTCATGGAGAAGCATAAGCCCATCCATGCAATTTGTAAGAGACGGTTTTACGCCAATTCTCTGCTGCAACTGTTTCCTGTTCATCTGATTAGAACCACCTTGCGCAAGCTGTTTACCGTCACGTTGAAGCTTGTCGAGGGAAAGAACAACAGCACGAAATTCTTCCCTGAAAATCATTTCAGAAATAAAGTTAAAACATAAAGACAATCTAGTTCTCAATGTTCATAAGGTTTTAGCTTTGATTGCAATTAAAACTTTGCTTGGTTTTAGCTTTTTCTATTTGTTTTTTCACTTCCCCAAAATTATATTTGATTAAAAGTGAGCAAATGATTGAAATGATTAAAACCCACAACCAAACAGAAAGTTAACTGATTAGAGCTAAACACTTACATGGTATTCTTCATTGAGAGTAAAATGGTTTGCAAAGAATCCATCTGCTTTTGCAACACAGCAACTTCAATGCCTTGAACAGAATTTAAACTTGCATAGTTTTTTGAATTTTGAATAACCTAATCACATAAAAGAATAAAGCAAAACATTTTAAACTTTTATTTAAGAAATAAATAAAAAGAAGAGAAATTGAGAGGTAGGTGAAGTTAAGTTAGACCTGTAATCTGTCAATGATGGAAGAAGCATTTCTAAACTGAGAAATCAATCGAGATTGAAGCTCATCCCATTTACTCATTTCATCTTTGGCTTTTCTGAATTTCTGCTGATATTTCTTTATCATTGCCTCCATGGTGGCAGCCGCTGGCGGCGGACGCTAGGAGCGAGGGACGGCGGCAGCACTCAGCAAGGAGGTGGCTGGATTTTAGAAGGAGACGTTGTACGAAAGACTGGAACTTGGAAGGGATCTAACAGCAAAATGAAGAAAAACGAAGGAAAATATGAAATTAAAAAGAAATTCAATGTTAGGTGAAAAAAAAAATTCTAATTGATAAAAAGAGTTAACAATGTTAATGACACGTGAGACATTAAATAATATTTAATGTTTTAATTGATTAAATAATAAGATAAAGGCTCAAACGATAAATTTAATTAAATTTAGGGATTATTTTATATTTTTTAAAAATAAACCATTTAGGTTAGGCCCGAAGATCATTTTTATTTTTGGCTCACAAAATTGTAGGTAAAAATATTAACTAATTGAAGATTAAGTCGAAATAAACCCACAAATTATAGGCCAAAGATGCCAATTAATCAGAGATTAAGAGAAAAAAATACAAAGAATAAAAGGTAGGTTGGCAAATCCATGAAAAAGAGAATGAATTTAAATAACAAATGTTATTAACAAAAATACGAAAAAAAACTTATGTCTTTACCTTATATTATCATATCATATTAATATCATGAGATATTAAAATAGTTAATAATTTTTAGATTAAAAACATTTAGTTAACCGTTTATTATAAATATTTATTTAATTAAAAATAAAATGTAAATATTTAATTAAATATAATAAAAAATAAGAATTTATTTTAAAAATTTTAAATAGTTTAAATTTTTTAAAGTATTATGCAGTTTATAGTTATTGTATTTTTTATTTTGATTTATATACTTTTTATGAAATATTAGTAAATTAAAATAAATTAAAAATAATGTATTAGATCAAAAAGTTTATAATTTTGAAAAGTAAAAAAAATACAACATTCATTGAATATCACGAAAAATCAAATATAATCTCAATATATTAAATATTATATATAAATATTTTTTAAAATTTTAAATACATAGTATTTAGCATCTTAATGAAAATAATTTTATTGTTTTTAGTTTTTTTAACTCAAATGATACGTGTGATTTCAATTTCCCAAGGGTCAAACTGAAAACCTCTTAAACAACCGTGGCCAAAAATAAAATTACAACAAAATAAGGGCAATAACTTAAATCTAATAAATCATCAAGGACTTAAATGAAAGAGAAATTCCTCGGCAATCACCAATTGAAAAATATATAAAAAAAATGTGTTTTAGTTGTCACCTTCTCTCCTCCCTCAAAAATTCCGAATTTACCTCGCGAGACCCTCCACGGCTTGCCCTAGCCAGGTAAAAAATGAACAGAATAAAAGAGTAAATCTTTATTTTATTTTAATTTTCATTCTCTTAATTTGTTTTTGCTTTAATTCATATCTTAGTCTTTATTTTTCTTTCTATTTAACTTTTTTTTAAAAAAAATAAGCTGCATATATTTATATATTAATGCATGTTAGAGGTTTCTGCGAGTAATCTCGCCTAGACCCACACTTCTAGCTTTTATATAGCATTGGAATTCCCATTTTATGTTTTTTTTATTTGTTTATTTTTTAAAATTTTGCTTATGAATTACTATGTGGGTTTTGACTTTTTAAGTACATATTTCTTCAAAAAAATTTCTGGGTAGTCTTCGTTTGCTTCGCATTTTAATTTTTTCTATTATTTTAATGGGTATGTGTAGATGAAATTATTGTTATCTAGTGTCAGCTTCTTATTTTCTAATTGCAGAGTGATAATATAAATTTTGACTTAAATTTTTTTATTGGCTTTTGCTTTGCATATTTTTTTGAAAAATAAAATGCTTTTTATTTTTTAGTATATATTTATATATCTATTTAGCTTATGACTTAAATGTAATTCTTTTTTTTTTTTTCATAGTTTTAGTTTGCTTACAGTTTTCATTTTGCTCTTTATGTTAATGGGTATTTGTAGGTTTGATGTGATTTGTAGCCGTCCCTTACTTATGCCAGTTTTTATGTTCTTTAAAAAATGTAAAATCTTGATATAATCGTTGTTTTTCCTCTGCATGATATCTTTGAAAAGTAACGTTTTCATTTCTTTTCTCTATTGCTCATTTTGCCAAATATGGAAAACTATTATTTTGTTAATTTTTAGAAATAATTATCCTATTTTGATTCGTGTTTTGAGGTTTCATGTTTTTGTGCTCTTTTGCTGTCTGATTTATTATGTATTAATTAAGTTTGTTTGGGTTTTTTTTTTTGAAATATTACTTGCAGATGATTCGGGTTTAAATGAAGGAATGATTCTGGCTGGAAGTCTCTGTCTAACTCTGAAAACAATATGGTTTCTGAAACTGTTCAAGTGAGTTGTGTGACAAATGGGGGGGATAAGAACAATCAAGGATTTAAAAGAAAACATTTGGGATCTGATGAGAACACCACAACTTGTTGTCATGATGAAATGTCTGATGACAAAGGGGATATAGGAACATCTGGCCGAGATACAACTACCTATATAAATGATGACACACAGCCTGATGGTGTATCCGTAAGCAGAGTACATAAGGAATTCCTTTAATTTCAAGGAATGGAGTTGTTATATAACACTGTTTCTATGCCATGTTGCTTCTAAAGTGTTGTATTTACGCTGTGGTTTGTCTGCAGAAAAGGACGAGGCTCCCAAAAGAATTGACTTTTCAGGATATGTACAACAATCAAGATGCATTTGATGATGACGATGAGGATGACAGTGACTGGGAGCCTGTACAAAAGCACGTAGAGATTTTGAAGTGGTTTTGTACCAACTGCACGATGGTCAACCTTGATGATGTTGTCCACTGTGATGTATGTCTGTATATCTTTTTTCTTGATACTATTAATAATCACCACACATGATTCTGGAATCTTTAATTCTCTTTACTATTGTTTAAGACATTTTTACTGGCTGTAGATAACTTAGCAATTTCATCCATGCAGATATGCGGGGAACATAAAGAATCTGGTATCCTAAAACATGGATTTTACGCATCTCCTTGTTCACCGGAGTTAGACCTTATTCAGGTCGAATCAGAAGCCAGAGAAAGAGACAAAGGTAACTGCACCTGACTTCCTTCTAGGTTTATTCAATATATTTTCATATGTCCCCCTTTGGTTTCTACTGGCCAAAAGGTTATTGAAGTGCCCATCATACTGATGCTTTCTCTTCTCCCGCCTTTTGGTTTTCTTTCATCGAACTACTAACGTAATTTCGCTTCTGAATTGATAAACAATTCCCAAACCACTGCTTAAGTGTTGAGTTCTTGAATCTAGTGTTATTTTGGTGTTTGTTGGCTTTATGATTTCATGATGGTTGTACATGGTGCATTGACATGCATTAATGGCCATTTAATTGTGGTCACATGTCATTACTCAATCATAACTGCTTTGTCCTTGAATGTGACTGCAATATTTTGACCATATTAGTAATAATGCCTCTTGTTATTTCCTTATATGCGATGTAGGTTAACAAAATCATTATGTTGCTTTCTTATGCTGTTAGAGTTCGTAGTAGGCATATAATGTAGTATCATGATGGTCAGAATCAAGGTTGTCAAGGACAAAAACAGGATGAACTGGTCATAAAGTGTGGAGCAAGTTTTATTGGCTTTCTTTTTTCCAAAAAAAAATGGATTTAAGATTACATACTGTAATGTCAATTTTCTGGAGAATCTAAGGATTGTCTTAAATTTAAATTATAATTAGCTGTATTTAAATTTTAAAATTGTTTCATTTCTAACCTTCATAATTAAGTTATGATGGCATCTGAACCTCTCTTGTCAATTGTGTTGATAGGGTTCTTTTTTATTTTGTTATTTGCTTAGTTATTAACGTATGTAAGTGTTTCCTTTGTATGAAGGTGCTTTTTTGCCAATGTTGTGCTATTGCTACTTGCCACTTGTTATGACACTATTAACTGGTAGATAGATTGGGCTAGAATGTTCTGAGTTACATTTAGTTTAGGTATTTATGTTGAATTTAATTCTGTTCTGTGTTTTACCCTAGCAAAAACCAGTCTGGTCAAAATTTTTGCTTGGGTGAAGCCCATCTCTGATGAGATCCTAGCATTGGAAACCTCTTGCTGACATAAATCATATTAAGTAATCTTTGCAAAAATCCAGTTAGTCCTATACAATTTTTATATAGGTAATATGATTCCAGCATCACAAACATGCTTGTGAAATTTAACTCATGTTGAGTATTCTTTATAGTTGCTCGCTAGATTCTTTTTTCCTCTTTTGGATAAATTTGCTTGCCAGGTGTTAGGCGGATGTGTTCTGATGAAAATTGTGAGTTGTTAATATTTATGAGATTTCCAGTTCTGTATAACCTTTTTTATTTTTTATCAGATTTTGAGCTCTATACGTTGCACTCTTCTACACTATCAAACTCATAGTATTTCCCTTGGTAAGATTGGGAGAGCTATAATAGGTATAAAATTTTGTGATCCAAATCTATTTGTGATTGTTGATACAGATTTGCGCTTCGAGGCTTCAGCATCAAACTGTTCTACAGCAGTTGGTTTTGATGAGAGAATGTTGCTACACTCAGAGGTAGGACACTGCTATTCTATATGCTTCCCTTGAATTCCCAACTTGGTTGAGGTTTTTATGGCTGTTTGACACCCTTCCAACTAATATTAATGTGTAGAAATCGAATATAAATATCAGTTGTGTGGAAGTTTTTGTAAGTTATACGTTATCTATCTCTTTGTGTGCTTGCTACTTTTTGTTGGACTGCTTCTGATTTCTCTCTTAAAGCGGAATAATGTTTTGACCTGGAGTTTTTTCTCACGTTTTTTCAATCTGGGTATCCTTACAACTCTTTTTTCTTCCTTTCTTCTTTTATATATATATATATACCTGGGCTTGGGAAATTCAGTTGTATTATTCTGCAAATTAACTGAATGGTAAGTCTGTGATTGCTGCTCATGTTTTATTACTCTTGTGGGTTTTGTATCTAACTCTTTTTGCACTCTCATATTTGGTGCGTGCTTGGTAGCGTAGGTTGAAATGAAGTCGCATCCGCATCCGGAAAGACCAGATCGTCTCCGAGCTATTGCTGCAAGCCTCACTGCTGCTGGTATTTCAGTCTTCTTTTTCTTTTTCTTTTGGGTATTAAATTAATATTCAGGGTTTTTATTTCTCTTTTATAATTGCATTGTCCCTATTTGCTAAGCTTAAATTAACCAAGTTGACAAGCAAATGACAACTTTTAACCTGTGAAGGTATATTTCCTGGGAAGTGCTACCCAATTACTGCAAGAGAAATCACTCAGGAGGAGCTTCAAAGGGTAAAGGCCATTCATTATCGTGGAGGCATATCCTTTGCCTGTTTAAATTTTTTACTGAAAGTGTTGTTTCTTAGGTTATGATGCAATCTCTGAAGCTTTGTTATTTTATGTATTGGAATCCTTAGGTCCATTCCTTGGAACATATTGAAACTGTTGAACTTACAAGCCAAATTCTTTCCAGGTATATCGTTTGTCTTTTCTACCCCAAGTGTATGCATGTGTAGAGTTTTAAAGAGCACCTCTTGGCTTGGCTAAAAAAAAGGGATCTTTTCATTCTTCAATTATCCATCTTTTATGGGGTGGCTTGAGAGCACGTAGTTGAGTAGGAGTTGGGGAGTAGTTAGGGGTGTCAATGAATTTGTTGTTTGTTAGAAAGGTCTTCTGTTCTTCCTTCTCTCTGTTTTGGGGGGTGGGAGATGAGTCCTCACTACCATAACTAGTGGAAGCATGAAAATTTTCACGTCCGGAATGTCTCCTTCGATGATTTTGTGGTTAGATTTGGAGGGGTGGGGACAAGGAAATTTTTCGTGATGGGTGTTACTATTTTGGTAGCAAAGAGGATCATGTCATTACTGTATTCATGGTTTCAATTCATTCTTATTAGTTGTATTGCAGATTATGATGTCGTGATGTCCATTTTCTATTATTAAACGTATACACATTTTGTTCCATATTGTAGATAAATATGATCCATATTTAGTAAAAGATTAGATTAACAACAAAAATTACAAGATTATCATTGACCAGTAGAATCATAAAAATTGGTATCACTTTCTTTTTGGGTCTGTTGCAATACACAAACATCACCGTTCTGACCTTTATTGCCTGGATTCTTTTCCAAATGGTCTGTTCATCTGTAACTATAGACTTTACGATGAAATAGAATCTGCATTGACGGATTATCTTTCACTGGCAGTTATTTTACTCCTGACACATATGCTAATAAGCATTCAGCACATGCTGCTAGACTTGCAGCTGGTTTGTGTGCTGATCTTGCTTCAGGAATATTTTCTGGACGTGTGAGAAATGGTTTTGCTCTGGTATGCATGAGTCTTGCGATTCTGTTAATATGTTTAAAGTTTATGACCGACCTGATACTGAACTCACAATGCTTATTGGTTCCTTGTCTGTTGTTTTCTGTATATTACTTCTGAGTCAGGTTCGACCTCCTGGCCATCATGCTGGTGTTACACAAGCAATGGGATTCTGCCTCCACAACAATGCAGCAGTTGCTGCATTAGCTGCTCAGGCTGCAGGGGCGAAGAAGGTGCTCATTGTTGATTGGGTAATTTCTTAGACACTTATCTGGCTTAATTAACTTCTTTTTGCCGGAGATTTCGATGATTTTGAAGTTAGTGGTTCTCTATTGATTAATGCAGGATGTTCATCATGGAAACGGAACCCAAGAGATTTTTGAACAGAATAAATCTGTGAGCTTCCTTGATAATAAAAATTAATTGCAACACTTGCATCAACTTTTTAATGCACTACTGATTTCTGGTGAAATAATTTGCCGGAGGAGGTGGGATGGTATTGGCTCTCTCACTTTTGTAATCAGTATGGAGGAAGTTAAAACTGCTTAACATTGAGCTGGCAAAATTCAAATGAAATTTATTTACTTGACCTTGAGGTATATGTTAAGAAGCATATATGCGCGAGAACTAACCAATCAAATCCTTCCTCTTCTGTTGCATGAAGTTCTGAAATAAAATAGTTCCGGCAGTTTTTATTTTGGATTTAATTTAACACACATGTGTCTTGTACCTCTTTATAGGTGTTGTACATATCCTTACATAGACATGAAGGAGGAAAGTTCTATCCTGGTACTGGGGCAGCTTATGAGGTACTTGATTAGTAATTTATTTAAATTTTTTTTCTTAATTCGTCTCAGGTAACTTGTGCAGCTGAGTTTTTCCTTGCTGCACATTGATTTGGAATTTGCCATCTTACCTTGTAATAGAACAAAGAAGATAGGGCAATATAACAGTAATAAAGATGGGTTTTCGTTGTAATATTGACAGCTTGTTATCTCTCTGGGACTATTGGTGGCTGCCTGATGTGATTTTGGCATTAATATTTGTAATTTATCTGGTCAGATTATTGATCCTTATGTAAATGAAATTCTTCAATTTATCTAATTGGTACTTGTGAATATCAGAAATTTATCCAGATTAAGATAAGACACGCCTTGTTGGTGCTGTAGTATTCTTATCTGCATCAGGTGCTTAGGAGCACAATTGGATGGATGCTATGTTAAAGTCATGATACTAGATGTTAAATATGGATTAGAATTGAGTTATGAAAATTTTTATTGATGTTTATATGAAGAATCCATCCGCTATCATAAATTCTGACCTTTTTAGTAAGCTGGCAATATGCGATGAAACAAAATAGTCTGTTGCTTAGCTCTTTCAGGTGTTAGGAGAGGTCTCTAAGGTGCCTAAGTGAGTGCATTGAGACTAAGAAGGTGGCATCTTTTTGTTTTTTATGATCCTCCTTCTGGAGTCAAATCAAAATGATATGTACTTGCAGCTGTAGATGTAGATGATACAGACTCTTAAAAACAGAATATTCCATGAGGTCGGACTACTGTGCTTGGTTCACCGTTCATACTTTTGATAACCTTGCTGCTTCGAGTTGTTCGTTCTGCAGTCATGATGCATACACCTTGCAGCATTACCCCAGCCAGATGCATCTTAGACACCCATTTTCATAAAAGTTTGGCTGCCTAACTCAATTCTTTACCTTTGGGTATTTGACTCAATGTATAGGCAGGCATTGCTTCCATCAATATTTATGCTCACTATCTCTGTCTGTCAAGTCGCTTTTCCTGCATCTGATTATACATATATACATATATATACACATATATATATATATATATATATATATTGTCAAATCTGTTTGTATTTTGAAGGCTGCAGTTTTATATGGTTTATTCATCTATTATGTATCTTGGGCTATAATTAATGCTTCTTTTTTATTTCCTTTTTCAATTTAATTCTCTAGGTTGGTACCAAGGGTGCAGAAGGATATTGTGTGAATATTCCATGGAGTCGTGGAGGAGTTGGAGATAATGATTATATTTTTGCATTTCAACATGTTGTGCTTCCAATAGGTTGTTATTTCTCATTGTTGAGTAAATCTTTGCATTTCAACTGTAATTTGGAAGATGAATATGGGATAGCATAATAAAATTTTATTGCATTAACTAACTAGTAATGGTGCATTCATCATGTTATCATACACAATAGTGAATCACTCTGGGCTCCAGTGCTGGGCCAGTGATGGCTAACAACTTATGTAGCTGACCAAGGAACCTTTTTAGTTTACGGTGTCATAATGTATAATGTAGTATTGTTGTTGCTGTTTAGAAATATAATGGCCTGTGCTGAAATGTCTTAACATGTGTCCATCTTGACCAGATTCAAATGTTTAATTAGAACAAAAGGTCTTGAATTTTTTCCAAGCATGATTTGTGTTATCACATTAATCCCATTTGTATCATTTTGTATTTACTTATGCCAATGTATAGTATTTGGATCATGTTGATGGAATTTTTAAGTGTGAGTTAATGTGCTAGAGCTGCTAATGGTGGTGTATTTCAAAGCCTGGATATATAAGAATGAGAGCAATTGTATGCTTTGTGAACGTGTGAGCAATGTGTTGTGTTGGGAAAGAATCCTTAAAAGTTATAGAGAAACAAACTGTTAAGATGAAATGAATAATTGCCAATGTTATACTTTATTAGTTGTAAAGGATTTCTACAAGTTGCTTGCTACAGCTTATTGATTTACTTTATTTAAGTGAGAAATTAGGACTTCTATCTCAATGGCGCATTTCTAATTGCTTGAACCAATCAACAGAAGTGTTTGTATTGTTGCATGTTTTTATAATGCAGCTGAGGATTTGTTATGTTTCTTGTGTGTGTATCTTTTAATCTCTTTTATAGATACTGATTCTAGGATCCTATTCTATATCTGTATCTGCATTCTTGGCCATCATTTCTTAAACTTACAACCTGCATTTGTTGATACCTGATTTATTGCTTAAATCCGATTAATGGTTTTTCAAACACCTAATGGCAGCTTCCAAGTTTTCTCCTGATTTTACCATCATATCGGCAGGATTTGACGCTGCTCGTGGTGATCCTTTAGGATGCTGTGATGTAAGTTTATTTCCACATTGTATAACATATGTATACATTTTGTGATTTAACCAAAAAAATCTTCCAGACCACAAAAAAAAAAAAAAAGAAGAAAAGAAAATCGAGAGAACTTTTGAGAGAGCTATATTATTACCTCAAGTCTTATATGGTATGTTTTTATGAAAATATATGATTGGCTGCATTTGGAGGATATGTCTGCCCTTGCTGTCGGGTTTCCATTCAGTTGTCTTATGCTCTTGTAACTGATTTTTTGAAATTCAATGCCTAAATGTTAATAACTTATCAAATGGAGTAAATAAATATTTTGGTTCATTTCGTTAGTATTTCAAAAAGTTTAATTTTGTAACATGTGTGCTTCCTTTCTTTTTCTTGCATTGCGTAATTATAGTAGTTTTGTCATTGTAGGTGACTCCAGCTGGTTATGCACAGATGACACACATGTTGAGTACCCTCTCTGGTGGAAAGTTGCTAGTTATACTTGAGGGCGGGTTTGTGGTTTACTCTCTGCTGTTTGGTACCGTCAAGATTATCATTTAATTCAGCTTTTCATTCAATTTTTATTTTTTGCATTTTGGCAGTTACAACCTCCGTTCAATATCATCTTCTGCTACTGCAGTGATTAAGGTAAATACACATAGGAGTAGAGATCCAAGTTATACTGGTGCAGTTGGTTTTGTAAGAATGAACTACATAAAAGTTACAAAGCCATATAGTTCTTGCTATTGTGTAACTTGATGCTATTCTTTTGGTATATACTTGTTTTAGTTTTGTATACTTGATGTATGTATACTTAGTCAGGCAAATGCACATGCATATGCACTAATTTTGATGTGTTAACCACTGCACTTTATTTCTATTCATAATGCTATGTTATTTTTTGGGGGGTACAAGAGGGAGCATTGTGGTTCAAATCTATGGTCCCTATCCAAATTCCACCCTACCCTTGGTGTAATGCAATAGGTTCTGACATGGCCTTTTGTTTTTTTTCCATTAAAAAAGGTACTGTTGGGTGAAAGTTCTGGGTATGAACCGGAGAATATTGTTCCTTCTAAATCTGGTCTGCATACAGTGTTGGAAGTCCTGAAGATTCAGATGAAATACTGGCCAACGCTAAGTTCAAGCTCTGAAAAGTTGCAGTCACAATGGGGGATGTATTCTATGGAGAACAAAAGTAAGAAAACTCCTTTCTAACTTTCTTTCACAGTCTAGGTGTTAATATAGTTGTTTTATTTTCTATCGACCCGATCAGAGAAAATGGTATTCGATGTTTCAATCTAAAAACATGCATGCTCGGGTGCAGCGGTGCAAAGAGGTTTCATCTGTGTGTGTTTGAATCATTGTTAGCATGGGGGTTTCAAACTTCTCATGTTGTTTCGTTTGGGGTTTGTTTTGCAGAAAAACAAGTTAAGAAGAGAAGGCTATTTGAGCCACCCCTATGGTGGAGGTGGGGAAGAAAACAGTTATTGTACCATATCCTTACAGGGCATTTCCATCTAAAATGAAAGAGTGGGTGTTGGAAAATTTTGGGATTTCATCATCCTCATCCCCTTTTTTATGCTGTAATTTTTGTTCATCCTAGTCAAGACACAAGATACATTTCGGATAGGTTTTACCCATGACTGAATTGTTTTAATGTTATTGATGATGATGTGCATCTCTTTTGACCTACTGTTTCCTTCAGATATGATCTTTTGGCAGAGTAGCTGATTGCTGAATCTGTAGGCAGAAAGGAAATAAAAACACTCAAATCTTCTCTCGAAGTATTCAAATTCTATAAATATTTGATTAAATTTTGGAATTCGAATATTTTAGATATTACCAATAAATGTTTAATTAAAAAATTTAAATTAATTTATATGTATATTATTAATAAAAAAATTTAGGGATAAATTAAAATTAGTTCATAAAAAATAAATTAAAAATTATTTAATATAATTAATAAATTCTAGTAAGTATTGATTTTATATTAAAAATAATTATTAATAATTAAATTCAGATATTTTAAACCGGTTAAGGAATTGTCTTATTGAGAAATTAGTGACGGAATCGAATCCGTGACGGTTAGTAATTTTACAGAGTACATATGAATTTATAAAGGCCGAAACCCAGATGTACCGGTAGTATAGAAAAATGAGTTCTTCTGCACTGATTTATCTGCTTGAGGGATAAAAATGGCGTTAGGAATGATTGATCGGCATATTCCTAGTTCAAAGAAAGGCAGAATTCAGTTTTTGTTGCCGGTCATGGTTGAAGTTATTGATGCATCGGTGGCGGTGCCATCGGGTAAGCAACAGGGACCATATAGGGAGGAGGGGGGTGGTGGTGGTGACCGGGAGGAAGCATAACGGGAGTTCCTACAGCGGACGCCATATGCCCTGGGGCAGCCACCGGACGCCCGATAGGTGCTCCGTACATGCCTAAACCAGGCATATGCGGCTGCGCCCTGTGCTTCACCGAGGGCCCCATGGCTGCTGCTGCAGCTGGTGAGTTTGCGTTAGCCTGTTGGCCGGTGATAGGCGCCTGATGAGACGTATCCCCATTGTTAACGCTGGTGATGTCATGGATGCTGGATCTCCGCCGGTCTCTGTTCATGGAATTCAAGCGGATGAAGTACTTCTGTGCATGGCTAGCCACCTGTGTTGGAGTTCTTGATATCACGAAGTTTCTTGAAATGCTTCTCCAATCTCCTTTCCCAAACTTGTCTAAACCCAGTAGAAATAACCTGGATAACCAAGGAAAGGTTGGTTACATTCCTTTTCCCAGCATCAAACATGACAAATCTCAGTTTCCAACTTCCAAATTTTCAGTTAATAAACTACCCATGCTCCTTGTTGGTCAACACTGAAGTTCGGAAAGTAGTAAGAAATGACCAGACAGAAGGGTTGTAGAGAGAGAACATACCTATGCTCTTCTTCTGTCCATGGAATTCCTTTCCTCCTTTCTTGGTCCGACCTCGAACTTCCTTTCCCACCATGTCCACAGGAATCGTGGCTTAACCCCGAAAATCCATTCCCATAACCAGAACTCGATCTCTTATCCGGAGCAGCAGCAGCAGCAGCTCCGGAAAATCCATGAAAATCCTTTGCTGCAGAAGATGTAGCTTCCTCTCCTGTATAACTAGGAAGTGGAACCTGACCAGCCTCTATTGCACCAACATCCTCCACCAGCAATTGATAGTGTTGCTTCAATTCCTCAAGACTTTTACTAGGAACCATTGAAGCAATCTTCTCCCATTGCTCTTCAGACCCCTCCTCTGTCCAATGCATAGCTATCGCGTTTTCGAAAGCCTTCTCTTCTTCCCTGCTCCAGGTTCCAGTCCCTGCCATGGTAAGCTTGCCTAGCAATGTTCAAACTGACCCTGATAGAATCCCAAGCTTATGCTGAATAGCCTGGTTGCATTAATGGAAGAAGAGAAAACACCAGAGAGACGAGTGTAGGATAAGGAGTGGGGAAAGGAATCAAATTAGCAATGAAATGAAATTGATGAGGACCACTTTTCATATATAACTCGTCATGTTCATATCAACTATCAAAAATAATACATTAAACAAAATTATGGACAAGTACATCTTTTGCTATGGATTTTGTTTTGTAGTTTTTCTTTTTTGCCTCTAATCATGGAGGAAGCAAAATCAAGGGCGACGTGGTCCAGAGAATCTTTTTTCAAACTTGCTTCTCCATTACTCTTCCACGCGCCAAGAGCGTATTGCCCGAATTACTTAAATCAAAAATATCTTAAATATATAAATATAACACCACATTATTTATAATAATTGATTTATTAAATTAAATATCCGTTTATATTTAAGCATCTAAGATATTTTTAATTTAATTGATTTAAGATATTTTTATCACTATTTTTATGATTCTCCTCACATGTAGTACAATAAATTTGTTATGTTATATGAATTTTACATGAAAAAGATGATGAATTTATAGATAATAAACTTATCACGAATGAGAATATCGTCTATTTTGATATTATGTTAATTTTAAATATGTTTGTTTAAAATTTAACCAAGCACCTAAGTTTATTTTTTATGTAATTTTTTTATTTAACCTATACGAATATTTGATTTAATGATTAATATATGAATTTTTATTAAAAAAATATTATTCAAACCTCTTTTTCTTCAAAAAAAATAAAACATAATTGGTGTGTTTGGACTTTCAATATAAAGCCAAGTGATGAAAGAAGCTACTCTTTCTATCCTAAATTAAATTTTCACTCTTTAAATGATTTAAAATTTTTGAAAATTTAGTATTTTTTATACTTTATCGATTAAAAACTCACTTAAAACTAATATTTTAATAAAGGGTAATATTAAAAAAATTATATTATTGAAAAATTGATATTATTTCGAGACAATCGAATTAAAAAGAAATCAAATATTCAATTTGAAACAAAAAGAATATAATAAGGTCTGATAATTGGGCGAGGGTGCTCAGCACGCTCTTGAGAAGGGCGTGGGACAAGAGAGAAATGTTCCAAGTTCCAATACTCTCCATTCTCTTTCTAAAACGTGGCCGCTTCTACATTTCTTGTTGTAGCTAAAATGCACCTCACAAATTCCTACCGTAGCTTTCTTTATTTCCTTTGTTTTCATAATTTTTTTATTTTTTTAATATTTTTTATTGAAGTTTTTTAAAATTTTTTATATAAAATACATCTAATCACGTAATGAATGTTCATTTTCAAGCATTTGATAAAGATAATTAATACACATTTTCAAAAGATAAAATATTATTTTAAAATATTTTAAATAATAAGATAATCTTATAATTTCAAAAGAAAAAGAACATACAAATCACATTACTATAACTTTATAATATTTATATTTATATTATTTTTTTTATATTTAAAAAAAATTCAAACCCTGTTCTTTAAATAAAAAGATTACGCACCAATCAATAAATTAAATACTTAAAAATACGTATTTATATTTACACTAGTTATTCTATAAGATAATCAATCAATGAATTAGGACTGAGGAACTGAAAACCTTGTCTAGGAGCTTGTGTTCTTGGCTTGAACTATCTTCCCTTCTGGTTCAGAACAATTTACATACTTCAACAGGCTTATTGTGTAAAGCATTGACAGACTCTTCACACATTTCTGAAGGGTATATATGAGAATGGATGTCATCCCAAGATCAACAGTCCAGTTTTCTGCTTGATATTGAGATTTATTGAGTCAATACCATGAATATTCGAGAACCCCACAAAAGTTGAACACATCATAATCCAAGATGTCCTAAGACTGAATACTGGACATTACAAAACTTCGGTGAGAGTCACCTTTCAACCATCAATTCTTCTTAGCATTCTGACAATCTATGGTGGGGAAAGACCTGCTAAAATGGTTGTGGTCCACTCCACAACTTGCCTGTCAATAGACATTGAAATTATATACTACTGACAGTAACTCACCACAAAATCAGAAGGCAATCTGCTAGGATTTTGCATTTTTCATTATACCAAGCACAAGTGTCTCAGTAACTTGGTTCCATCACAGACATAATAATAAAGTAGAAAAGTAGATCTTGATTTGTGCATAAATTTCACACTCTATTTTCAAATATCTTTTGACACTACGCCAATTATGAGCAAAAACTAATGATTATGTGCAGGGGAAAAGTTTACTGTCACCGTCAGTCTCGGTAAGGAACCCTAATAGCAACTGAACAGGTTTGAAACTGCAAAGTACATAATAAATAAGAAACCCATTGATGGGATCATATATAACAGAATAAAACAAAAGGGTCACACAATTCTTCCAGGAATTTTGCCACAAATGGATAAGTAGCTTTTTGAAACTCTACATGTTCTGATTATATTGAATAGAGGTTTTTCAAATCAATGATTATAAACAGAAGAAATAAAGAAACTGAAGAAAGCTCATATCTCTTGACCAAAAACAAGAAAGTGCAACCATAATGATAGAAAAAAGAAATGCTGAGATGGGAGTTCAAGTCTTAGTGACCTGCCGACAGATACAGTAGTTTACACATGGTTCCTTAAGAATGAAAGCAACATGAATCTTCAACTTCCCATTAGAAAGAGAAGATACCAATATCCATAAATTTTTTTTTTCTAATTTGTTTCTAGATTGTGCAAATAAACTATCTCAGATTCCTGAAGCACTGGGTGGATTCAAGACAGGTTCTGATTCTCACACATCTGGACAAAAGGCAAAGTTAAAATAAAGAAATTCTATCAGATTGCAAGACACATGATTGTACAGAAAACAGAGTTGTGAGAGGATTTAGTCTCACCTATATGAACAATTATGCCAAAAGTTGGGGGATTCTCCATCCCACCAAGCAGAGGAAGCTACAAGAAAATCAAAGGCCATGCCTTTCTCTAGAAGCTAGTTAAGACCATCAATACTAATTGACAGAGCCAACCCGATTCCACCATGCTTTGTGTTATCTTGGTGAATTGGACGATATGACCCCAACTTGTATTGAAGGGCGGCCAGGAAGTTTTGTCAATTCTGGACTTGAATTTCCCTGTAGAAGAGCTGCCCTCTGTGGGTTCAAAAGCAGAAGCTGCTGCATATCCTTCGGAAGCACATTGAACACTGCCTGTAGATCACCCTTCAGTTTCTGGCACATTGCTGCAGATTCTGCGACCACCCTTCCAGAATGCTGCAACTGAAGATTACATATAAGGAATAGGTTAAAATAGTGTCATAGTAGTCATATAAGGAATAGATTACATAACTAAAGATTACATTAAGATATACCCCAGAGTAGTCATATGTATAACAGTAACCAGCAAAGCATTAAATATGTAGTTTGAGCAAAACAATGTGCCATACAGAACATAAATGATGCTAGATCAAATCATGTATCAGCATCTTTTAGGCTCTCGCATTTTGGGGACTGAAATGACTAGAGAATTTTAAAAAATGGAAAGAGATTTTCAAACTTAAAAGTACAGTACAAATATCAAATGTAACTAGTGACTAACTTACTCTGGATTTATACAAAAAGCCCAGGATGCAAAGCCTAATAGGTAGTAAAAGGTCGCTATCTCATATAATATTGCAACAAAATGTATATGATAGGCACTGAGAAGCTTCCAATAACATATCTTATGATCCTGTTTAAACTAAAACAGAATTTAAAGTACACTAAGATTTTACACAATAAATTTGTTCCAGAACTTGTAGAATCCCAATCAAACAAAAGTATTATGCTAACTGTGGAGAAATCAGAATAGAATTATTGCAACGGTCCATTTTCCCAATTTCCAACTTTTACTAGAAATCTCTGCTTTTTAAACAAATACTCATACAACAATTGTCAAAAGGAAAAAAAAAGAATACTCATTCCACAAGAGCAATAAGGCAGTAAGAATGAAATTCAGTACTTTCACATAGGCAACTCATCTGTGTCTCTTGCAGGTGCTTTTCTGTATGTACGCATGTGATGTGCATGGGTGGTAGGTTGCTCATTAATTGCTGATGGAAGACCTTACTAACATGGTGTCTTGTATTACAAGATAGACTTATAAATGGTTGGCAAATATCTAAGCATGGAATTTGTCATTAACTTCCCCCAGATAGATGATAAATTCTTTGGTATTCCTTTCATTGGCATACTTTTAAAAAATGGATTATGTTGGCATAATTTTAAGTTGTTTTCTTAATTGAATAATGGTTGGTAGAAAGAAATCCATCTGCAAACATTCTAATGAAGCCAGACAGAAAGTGAGCATAATAAATATAATATATAGCCAAAAGGATGAATGACACCATCTTATAGCTGATTAGGGAGGAAAAAATGAGGGATGGGGAACACATGTTGTTTGAATAAGTGATGGTAAGTATATTAGCGCTGGTGCACAGCATATTTACACTTTTAGGGCAAGATTGAAAGAGTGAAATAAATCATTCAAGAACCAAGTGGTGCTATCTTATAGATAATTAGTGAGGAACAAAGGACAAATACATGTTTGTTTGCAAGATTGATGGTCAGTAAATTAGAGCTGGTGGGCAGCAGACACATTTAGGGTGAGAGAAAGAGTGAAATGATTCATTCAAGACCCAAGTGGAACAGGAAAAGTTCATAAAAACATAAAGCATAAGTTTCAGAAACCAAGACATAGAATGCTAACAATTAAGGATTTGTTTGGTTGTTACCGAAGTGGAACAGGAAAATTTCATAAGAACATAGAGCATAAGTTTCGGAAACCAAGACATAGAGCGCTAACAATTTAGGATTTGTTTGGTTGTTACTTTGTTTACTTGCTTTTCTTTCCTTTTTCAGCTTTTTTGCTTCCAAAAGCAAAATGCACTGAAATTTAATTTCACAAACCACCATATATATGAATTAGTGGCATTTTTTAAAACCATTTGCTCATTTTGAGCCATTAATTTTTGTTTTTTACTTGCTTTTGCTTTATAGCAGATAGGAAGTAAAAAGAAATAACAAACAGCACCAAACTACCCCCAATTTGTTTTCATTTCTCTCAAATGAAAATAGGTGAAATAGCAGCAAAATTCAGACTGATCACGCTAAAATATCTAAGAAGATTTGTCATTCTATTCACAATCACGTTGTTTAACCCATTTCGGCTTTAGAACAAATACGGGGCATGAACAATTGCTAGCATGGTTCATATGATTATCTAACTGTAACTCCCTTTTAATAAGTGTCATACTATGTAATCCAACACCATTTAATTATACACTCCCAATTATTAATTAACATGTTGGCATGTTTCCCTCTTTCCATCATGCATACAAATGGAATCGAAGGGGCTACATTTAAGCAACTTCAAAAACTTGCAGGAAAAAGAAACAAATGGAAATTATCTTCAAAATAACCAGATTCTATACATCCTCAACACAGTTTTAAGAGGAGACAATATCTCCAACCTAATTCCACTTACCAATTTATAATAAAGGATGTCAGATAAAACATGTATAATATACAGGATCAAGATATAAAGCCATTTTGCACCAAATCACAGTTCTTCATTCCTCCCTAATAATAACATTCAAGGTAACTTGACCATCAATAGACACCATATAAGTCATTGATCAAACACCATTTGTTCCAGTATGTTTAATACAGTATCATCTGAAACCTGGTCATGTTACCTTAACCCCTCCCTGGAAGGGGTGTTTTCTAAACTCAGCAAACTTAGAGCTTAGTATTGTTTAGCCATAAAGCAAGTCCTTGAAAGCAGGAAAATTCCCTAAAAGCAAGAAACATGCTTAATTGACATTTATAGACATGATGAGCACTTAAAGAAAAGCATATCCGTCAGAAACATTATATAATCTTGCAAAAAAGGCAAAATTACCTGTATTTCTCCAAGAAGATGTCTCTCAATAGCATTGAAGCAGTCAACAACTTCCAATTCAGGCATTTTAGATATCAGGTGATGTATGTCAGTCTTCATTTTCGCCTGCCTCCATAATCGATGTTGTTCATTTTCAGCAACAGCATGTCGTCTTTGAAACCATGGCAGAAAGTTAGGTCCTTTAAGAAAACGCCTGCATGCAAAGAGAAGGCAACTCTAGCTCAAATGAACAATTGATAGATTGCTAAAGAAACCAACCAATGAAGCCGAAAACTGAAAGTAAACATTCATATTACCGATACAGATCCAACCAGTTAGATCTCATCCGCTTTGAGAGAAACTTGCCCACACCCCTTGCTGACAAGCTTATAAGGAATTCATCAGCATTAAATGGAGGTAGAGGAGGGGGATCAACAAAAGGTGAAGACCCTTCAGGAGGAGTGGTAGCCCTAAAATATGGTCCAAAAGGAGCCAAGAAGTTGGTAGTCAACTCCAAGAAATGTCGACGTAAGATCTCATTATTAACAACAGACATAGATTCCTCAACCCTTGGTGACATCCCAGCATCAATAAGCCTATTCAAGATAGAAGTGTCTGGCTTCGTAGTTGCAGCATAAGTGCTCCAAATAGCCTCCTTATGTTCTGTCATGAGAGAAAGAGGACCATCTCTCCTCAGCTTCACAGCATTCAACAAATTAGAAGGAGAGAACTTCTTCAAGGAAAGCTGTTGAAGACCAAATCCTTCTGGTTTACCAGGAATTCTGCCAGTGGACCTACTTGCAAGGGCAACCCGACTTGAATTAGGTGCAGGGCTTCCAACCGATACAATGTGCGGGATATTACGAAGAGCTTTGAGGAAAAAAAGATTTGTGACACCCAAAACCATAGGCGGATATTTGTCCCCTTCTTGAAGAGAGTTCAGCTGAGCAAATTCAGGATCATGGATGGTAAAATACGGCCTAAAGTCAACACTGCAAAGTAAAGGTGCAACTAAGCTGACGAGACTGGCCACAGCCTCACAGCACTGTGGAGGTGTTGGTGCTATGACAAGAATCGGCTCACCAATAAGTAACAACTCCCACAATAACCAAAGTTGTAACAAAAGCCCTCTGAATGTTCCAAAAAGATCTGAATCATGAAACAGACCTTGTGGGACTGATTGATTATTAGGAAGAAAAGGAGCCATAGACGAAGCAGACTCTTCATATGCTATTCCACTTTCCAAAGGCAAGCTGTGGGCAGGTGGCAAGTTAACTTTGAGCATCGCATTCCCAATTGGAAGCTCCATTAGCTTACCAGGTACAGGAGTAGGCCACAAGGAAACATAACCAGCAATATGCTCGATAGCTTTTTTCCCTATATCAAAGTAAAGAGGACCCATGATTTGTAACAAGGGTCTAAACACGCTAGAGTAAGGTCCATGAGACAATATTACTACAGATTTTTGTTCCCCACCCCGTTTTAGCCTCTCGTCATGCCTTTGCCTATTAAACACATAACCATACAAGTGTCTTGAACCTTTACCACTACTTCTCGACCTCCTAATCACTTTCTCCTCTTTAGGTGTTGATATTGTATCTTTATCATCAATTTCTGTTATTTCTGACGAAGTCACATTACCCTGCTTAGTATTTTTGTGCCTCCGAAACCGGAAAAAGAAGATGCAATCATGAATGCTGGAGCAGTTCTGGTGCTGAGAAACAGAATCTGGAAAGGAACTAAAAGCAACCTCAAGTTCCTCTTCTTGAGTGAGACAACCAGGTGGATAACACTCTTCTATTAGCTGACCTCGTTCAAGATCAAATCTAATGATGCAAAAGGCAACAACCCATCGTTGCAAAGAATCCGGGTCAGGTTTCACACTAAGCTCTGGCTTCACAGAAAACGAAGGAGAGCGACTCATTTCCTAGTGTTTTCTCAACAACCTCCCTCCTCTATAAAAAGGGCCAATTCTCATCATCTTCAGCCACCATTTCCATTATAAATTCCACGAAAGTTAACTCATTGCCAAAAAAACAAATTACTCAAATTGAAAGCACTCTTCTTTAAAACTCCTGGTAAGCAGAAAAAAGAAGCAAAATCAAAGAACTAACAAAAAAACAACTAAATCAAGAACTACAGTATACATTAATTCCGTTACTTAAAATTGTAAAATTTGGGTTAGTTTCTATATCACTAATTCCGTTCTTTCTTTTTCTCTACTTTCCTCAGAATCCAAACAAATGATTGAACCAAAAACAAAATAATGAAACAGGTCTCAACAAGAAAACATTCAAAGATCTAAAAAAATGGGCAAATGAAACTTACCAAAACCGTAGACCCCAGAAACAGTTGTTGAAGAAAGTAATCTGGATCGGGCGAGAAATGAGTACCCAATTGGCCAAAAACAAATGGATAGTTGTTAAATTTTCGAAAACTCAAAGAAAAATGTGGGCTTTTTATGGGATTTGGTGATTTTTCTCTTGGTTTTTCTTGCAAAGCCGAACCAAAATTACCCAATTTGGGATATAATTATATTAAATTAACTTCGTAACTCAGTAGTATAACCTTGCATTGGTGGTTTAATTATGTGAAATTTAGACAAAAAACTATTTTTGCTCTTTCTTGAATAGCGAATTTTTGCTGTCTCCCACATTGGGAAAAGAAATTTTTTTTTATCTGGTTATGATATTAATATTTTTAGGTTAAATTGTACTTTCACCCCTCTGAGTTTCTGTTCTTGTAAAAACATCTTAAATTCATTCTTTAACCTTTTGGGGGGTAGAGGTTAGAAAATGAAATTATAATACAATAATTAAACTTAGATATTCATATTTTAAGTTATTTAACCTATTGTAGCACTTTATTTACTCATTACTCCATTGATTATTAACTAATTTAGAATGTTAAAAAGTACAAAATTGAGTGAATTGAGTTGGTAATTTTTGTTTTAGTTTTAATCACAAAGCTAGGGTTTTGTTGGATAATTAGTGCTTTTAATAAAATGGTATAGATAATCCTAAATGTTTAGATAATGTACCCAAAAATAAATAGAATTTATATAATATTGTTTGGGCTTCATGGGTCATGGTTTGGGCCTGACACCATGAGAAATTTAAAGCTCAATGCATATATCTCACAAATAGAGGCCCTTGATAACCCTGTTGAATGTTACACAGTTATTTCCTTATTCAAAGGTAAGGCCTCATAGGTTGAGAATTTGAGATCATATAATAATAATAATAATAATAGAGTAGGTAATTAGAAAATAGTGTTAAAAAGAATAGAAGGAGAAATTAGATAATTATGTAATTAGATAAGTGTATTAGATCATCTATCAATAATATATTACAATAAAAAAAGTACAAAATGTTGGAAAAATTTTTAATTGATAAAAATGAACATTTTTATTCATTAAATTTCTATTTTTTATTTTTTATTTTAAATAATTATTAATTGTTAATTATATAAATAGCATTTTCAACTATATGTGATAATATCAAATAAATATTGAAATTCAAATTACAAGGTATGCACGGTTGTTAAATGGAATAAAGTCCATTCTTTCACACTGGACCTTAAAAAATTTGATTTCACTTAAATACAAGGAAATTTTTTTAAATATATGAAATTAATTTTTCATATAATGAAATTTATCAAGAATAAATTCGCAACATTTATCTTTATATGTAAATTATTTAAAAATAAATGTTTGTGTATAATGTAAGAATAAATATTAGAATTATTAAAAAAATAATAGAGGGAAAAAGATAATTTTTCCATCATAATGAGTCAAAAAAGGAACCATAAGACCTTTATGAATAAAGTCATTAACCTATAATGATAAGGGGTTGCAACAAAGAGCTGAATTTACCATGAGTTATATGAAGGCTTAACAATATTAATATTATTATATTCAAACATTTGATTCAATGATTAATATTTTTAATTTTTTTTATTTTTTCCACCAAGTAAATGGATAATATTTTCGTTTTATCTAATCAAGAAATTTTCATTAAAAAACAAGAAAGAGTCTGTACAAAGAGATGAAAAAAAAAAACCATAAGAGACTTAAACATCAAGGACCATTATATAAAGAAAAGGAAACAAAAGCTAAGAAAGTAGGAAAACGAAGGGTCAAAATATGTAGGCCTCGGAAAGTCATCTTTAAATATTATCTTCTCTGCCACAATTCCCGAAGCCGTCTTAGCTCAGCCGGTAGAGCGCATG